CACTGGCAATAAGCTCAGTCTTCAAGTGAGAGCAGGTGGTATGGCACTAGTGCATAGGCAGTAAGTTAAAACTAACTAGCAATGCCAGTTTAGTGTATTTTACTGTGACACTTCTGTTTAACAGGTATATTTATTGCAAGGCTTAAAACATTTTAATACCAGCAATATGTAGTAGCATTCCTAAACACTCCCAAAATGCAGGCAGGACCTTAGTTAAATCCATTTACATGCTTTTCACCCAAAAGAGGAGTCATTTTATGTTTATTAGTCCCACTTAATTTTAATATATCACTTAAAGTCACTGATTATGTTTAGCAAGAAAACAGTTTCACGTGGCCACCGTGAGGCTTTGCAAATGTCAGTACTGGTGAACCAACCAGGAAAGACACCAGTTGACCGACGTACAGCTCCAGGGGAAAGGTCCGAACAAGATTTCCACAGTTCCCAAAATGAGCTGTATATGCTGCGGTGGCTTTTATAATGCCTGGGAGGACTTCAGATCAGAGTACATCTAAAAGCTGCCATACTTTAACACTCACCTACGGGCTTAGCTCAGCAAAAATGGGGACCAGAAAACTGGAGTAAGACTGGACTAGAGCAACTGGTAGAGCCCCAGTTTGGGACAACACGGCCCCAGGTAAGGCCTAGAAGCCTTAGAGGCTTAGAAGCCTAGAAGCTAAGGCCCCAGAAGCCACTGTATATATTTGGGTTGGATCATTCTGTGTTTGGGGGCTGGAGATTGTCCTGTGCATTGTAGAACCATTAGCAGCATCCCTAGCCTCTCCCCTAGAAGCCACCATCATCTCCTCCCAGCTGCAATGGTGAGAAAAGTCTGCAGACATTGTTAGATGTTCTTCGTGGGGTATATGCCAGCCATGGAGAACACTACATGAGTAAGAAGCAAGAAAGTTGATATTTCAGCATAATTACTGGGATCAGCTATAATCCATCTTCACTGAAAAGGAAGATCATATTTCAGGAGGAAGAATTGAGTGTGGAGAGATCTGAGAAATTAATTGGCAATAGAAAGTCAAGAGTCCATCTGCAAGGTGACAGAAGAAAACTAGGGATGACTTATGTCCATTTCTAATATTGTCTTGGATCATTTCAGAGAGAATATTTTTAGTAGCCTGGTATAACCAGAATTAGTTCATCTCTTTATTCCCTGAGCCTCTGGGGTGCTGAAAGGATTTTAAAACTCAAGGTTAGCAATCATTTAGCATTACTTCCTTTAGTTGAGTAGAGGGAAGGAGGCAGGGGACCCCAGCCTATTTTCCAAGTAGGGGGCCCAGTACACCATAGGAGCTGCTTTGGGCCACAGGCCAGTTCTGACCTAAAAACTATAAACCCTTCCCAGAGGAAGACACAGAACAGGTCCGTTTCACAAGAACCCTTTTCAAATGTTGACTGGGACTGAGCATAAATGTCCTTATTTAGATTTCTTCCAGCTCTGATATTAAAAGATGTAGGCCTTTGATGAGTGCTCACATCTAGCGCCCGCTCTACCTCGTAGTTGCTTCCTGTTACTAGGGCAGTCTTCTGGCTTAAAGGCAGTGCTAGCTTTACACGGGGCTTGGGCAGGCAAGACTTCATGGAAGAGGGAAGAGAGTCAGGGCAAGAGAGCCACAGAATATAAAACAAGCAACCCAGATAAGACTGGGGTGGGGGCAGAGAGAGAGTTGGCACAGGAAACCAGGACCTTGAAACCAAGGTCAAAACAGCCCCTGTACCAGGTAGTGTGGGCAGATGAGGTCCCCCCTTCAGGTGAGGATAAGTGAGGTGAAGTTGGTAGAAGAATCAGTACATGAAAGCCAAGCCTGAATGCTGGCCCCAGAATTAGTGCTAAAGCCAGACACAGAAGTATTTAACACAAAACTGCAAACCACACTGATGTCAACAAATGTTTCTTATATTTTTCTAAGTACTATCAAAGCCAGAAGATGAATTTGCTTCCAGTGTTTGCCATCTGTTGGGAAGATTTAGGCGAAGTGGTAAAGATTTCTTTTTAAGTAACATGTTTCTATTCTCAATTATCTATCCAAAAGAGATGAGTATATTCTTTCACATAAAAATTTATACCTAAGTGTTCAAAATGGTGTTATTCCTAATAACCAGAAAATGGGGAGGGGGTAGAGACAACAAATGTAGGCCAACTGACACAAAAAAACAAAGGTGTCCTGTCCTTACAATAGGAAGCTATTGTAATAAAAAGGAATGCAGGCTGGGCCTCCCTGGTGGCCTAGGGGTTAAGTCTCAGCACTATCACCCCTAAGGCCTGAAGGCCTGAATTTGATTCCTGGCCAAGAATTAACCACACATGGCCCAGCAGACTTCTCCTGGCCTCCGCTGCTCCCCTCTCAGCAGTGTACTTGGTCAATCTGCCTGTTCTGCTCCCCACTGTCTCTGGTGAATGCTCTCACTGCCCTTGTACCTCTGGCCTGTACCCCAAAGTCTGTATGCATGAATAAATACATTAAAAAAATAAATAAAGTTGATACCAGGACTTCCTGCCCAGGTGATTCTAATGTGCAGAAAAGGTTAGGACCCCTGGGGTTACGCCCTTAGAGGGGAATGTAGGATGAGAGCTGTATGTGGGGTGAATTTGTGAGTCTAGGTGTTTGTGTGTCATCAATGTTTCTCAACCCTGGTTACATGTTAGAATTCTCTGGGAGCACGCTGATACAGGGTCCCACCCTCAATGATTCTGATGTGATTGATCTAGGCAGGACCTGGACACTGGGAGTTTAAGTCATTCCAGGTCCATGCAACATGACCCAATCTCAGGAAGGAAGAACTTCCTGACACATACTACCTGAACCTTGAAGACATTCTGTTAAATGAAGTCAGTCACAAAGACAAATACTGGACAATTTTACTTAGGTTCCCGGAGTAGTCAAATTCATAGAGACAACATCTCAAATTCGCTCTAAGAAATGAAGCACCGTTTTCACATGGAGGTGCAGAGGGAGGGGACTTTTCTCAGAGTCATTTCCTACAACGCTGCATGTCCAGAATGCACCCAGGCTGTGGCAAGAGCTCAGATCACAGGGTGGGAAATATGCTGAAACTCTGGCATTTTAAAACACCTTAGAAAGACTTCATAAGTAGACTAGCATTTGAGTTAGGGGGTGTTGGGGCAGGGGGAATGGCAATCAAGGTAAAGGAAAAAGCATGAGAAGCAGGTTCAGAAAGCAGGAAATGGTGTGCAGGGAATGTAAGATTAGAGGGATTAGGATGTGGGATTAGTAGCACAAAGAATTCAGTAGAAAAGTCTTGAAGGATAGAACTCAAACATAATACTCATCTGTGAATACATGAAAAGTATTTTATAGTCACTGCTATTCAAATAAAAACATTAAACAAATAATGATGAGGTGTCATTTTTTACTTTTTAAGTTGACAAAGCTTCAAAACTGAGTAAAACTTAATTGTGGCAAGTGCTCGCTCAGGTCAAGTGTTCCCACAGCTGCTGATGAGATTGTAAATCAGACAGACTTTTCTTTGCATGGTAATGTGACAGTAATATTACAAACTCCCCACACACAGTACGTGTGCTCGGATGTGCTCTCTCTATACACAAGTCTATATGTCTGTTTATACAGACACATACCCACTGCTTCCACATCTCATTTAATAGAGACTGAAGAGGTAATCATGAGATGAACAAAGATTTAGCAGCAATACTTATAACAGGAAAATATAAGAAACAAAGTGCTCATCAACCAATAGGGGATTTGGTGAGTAAGTTCTGGTTTTGCAATTAGGGGAATACTATCTAGCAATTTAAGATGCAAGAGAGCATTTGCCTTCATTCCTCCCAGCCCACTGAGCTGCATGCACACTCCAGCTAGATCAAGGCTCCCCCAAAACAGTGACTGGGTGTCCTTAACTAGAGGGCACAGCAAAATCTACAAAGGAGAAAAAGGTGATCCCAAGATCTTTTACTTGGCTCAAAATTGCTGATAGAAAAATGTTTATGTTACTACAAAAGATTTATTGGGTACATTGATTGAAACAAGCATTTAATATGTTGTTATTTTTGGAATATATATACATGGAAAAAAGTATGAAAAACATACTTTATATGGGTGGTTATATTACAGATAATAATTCCGTTATTTTGCCTGCTTTTTACTTTTTCAGTAATGAGTATATATTAAAAGTTTGGCCCTCCCCGGTGGTGCGGTGGGTTGAAGCACTGCACTAAGAAGCTTAAGCCACTTCCGCATGAGTTCGATCCCCGCCTGCCCTGGAGGAGATCCACAGGGCTAGGCAGACCTCTCCTGACCCGCCCACTGCTCCCCTCAGCAGTGTACCTCGTCGATCTGCCTGTTCTGCTCCCCGCTCTGTCCCTAGTGAATCCTCCCACCCTCCGCATCTCTGGCCTGTACCCCAGTTCTGTATGAATAAATAAATAAATCTTTTAAAAAAAAGTTTTCTAGATAATAAGAATGGTTAAAACATTCAAAGAATATTTATACTTGTTTTATATTATTTCCCACAAATGATGATAATTTAATTTCAGCACATTGAAGAGAGTTATCAAAATTTTATATGCTTTTTTTTTAAGATTTATTTATTTGCACATACAGAACTGGATTACTGGCCAGAGGTGCAGGGGTGGTGAAAGGATTCACCAGAGACAGAGTGGGGTGTAGAACAGGCAGACTAATGAAGTACACTGCTGAGGGGAGCAGCAGGCGGGTCAGGAGAGGTTTGCCGCACCATGTAGGTCACCTCCTGGGCGGGGATCGAACTCATGCTGAAGTGCCTTTATCTTCTTAGTGCTGTGCTTTACTCCTCTGCACCACCAGGGAGGGCCTATACACTTTTTTTTTTAAGAAATTGGACACTGAGGGTATCTCTGTGTCCCTTTAGTAACCATCAAACAGATTTTTGAATCATTGAAAATTGATGGCAGTTATTGACTTTATCAGTGATTGACTTTAACCTTTTGTTTACCCTAGCAAAATTGACTGTTATCATTTCTTGCTCAGAGAATGCACTTCCAACTGACCCTTTTTTTGTACCTTGGTGAGTATTCAAAATTCATTTTCTACTTGTATAAAATTGTTCTAATGTGTGTAGTAGAAGTGTTTTTTAAATATATCTCTGTCTTTTCTCTGTTACCATAGAGTCTTCCATTATATAATTATATCAAGTAACAAGAAAATTCTACTTAACATGTTTAGTGTCTATACATAACTATTTCTGTCACTCATTCTTTAGTGGAATATAATCAGCAGCAGATAGGCAACTAGAGAAAAAATACTTACAGATTCATAATTTCCAAATATGATACATTTTCATTTTTAAAAATAGCTCAGCTTTGAATGTATCATTTGTCCTAGTGATGAGGTCTTGTGAAGAATTTATAGGCAATTCTTCTCAGGAAGCAGCAGTTCTGAGCAAACAGGCCAGATTCTCCATACCTCTGCTGTCTTTAATAAGCTGAAACTAATTTGCTTTAGTCATAGAGCAAATGTTTCCAACAATTACTCTCTTTGATCCTGATTTTTCTCTAGCAGCTCTGCTTTTACGTACTGACTACTAACCAAATTGTTCAGAATCTTCTGCCGAGTTTCATGCTGAATTTTTCATGATGCAAACTCTACATGCTCATCTTCTCCTTTTGCACTTCTCAAACCCTGAAGTCATTTCCCAGTTAGAGTTGATTATAATGAAGGGAAGAAAAATGTCTTTAGATGGTAGGTGCTCATCAGTTCTCTGTTGAAAAGTGTGTGCCTCAGGGAGCTGAACTTCAGGTCAGGGGGCTTGAAACATGTTGTCTTGCACCCCTTGAACTATGAAGCATGGAAGTGGCCTCTGATAGTTAGAGGATAGTTATTCAGTCTCCATCTCCCTGGGCCACTCTCTATGGTACTGTCCCAGGACTGAAAATAAGAAGCAGCCATTAGGGATCAAGGCACCTCTTCCATGCCTCCACCTAGGATTTGACTCATACCCTGTCACAGTTCTAACCCACACCACAGCTGCTCAGGGGTTCCTGCTCAGTCAGGACACTATTGTTTTTGGAGGAAAGTGCTTCAAAACTAAAATAGTTTGAGCAGAAAAGACATAAGTGCAATAGATCCAGATTTCTAAAGCTAAGCTTTTCCTGATCCTACTTAAATCTCCAAGGGTGCCTATGGTCAAACCACATTAACCACATCATCAGCGTGGGCATTTTCTAGTGTGTAGTTAACCACTGGCTTTTACATACATTCTGGAGCTTTTAAAAACATTTTGGAAAATGAGGAGAAAACATCAAAAACCACATTTTGACCCCAGATTTTGGGAACAGGATCCAAGTACAAACCTGATCCTATGTGTATTTCTTATATCTCTTCCCACCCATAATAAGTACTGTGTGTGAGCCTATAAATGTGTTTACAGTCTCTAAACTCTGATGTGATCTCTAAAGTATATGAAAGCATCTCACATGTTTAAGTAAATTATAACAACATACAAGATTATTAGAGAAATCACATAAGCTATTTTACAAAATGATCCTTCACTTTATAGAAAATGAGTTGAGCATTTTCTTTAAACCACCAGCTCTATAAAGTTCATCTTAAGTGAAATTATATCTTTAAGTTGTATGCCATGTTTGAGGAGCAGATAACTGTCTAAAGACATAAACATTTGAACTCTCTGATTCAATTCCAAACTATCGGTAATGTGATAAACTGCTAGTTGAAGTCTTCAACCCAGGAAGGAGATGGCTGAGTCTATGTTCAGACATGAAGCTTTTACTTGTTTCTAGCCACTTTTTGCAAAGTATTTGAAACCAGACGTTCATATTTCACTTACATTATTACCTGAAAAGTAGTTCAATTTCCTAAGTCCTAGAATACTTTTATTTAAGAAAAACTCATCAAAACAAGTTTGGCCAAGCCAAGTTATAAAACATGTTAAATCTCTAAGGCAACAATTCCAATAAAAGAATTCACGATGGGACTTGTCTAAAAGAATAAATCTCTGGAAGGGAAATCATAGTTGATCTACATGTAGCATTAGCAGAGATCTTATACCTGACCTTATCTTTAAAAACCTCTGTCTACTGGAGTCCAAACTTCTGATTGTTTATCATTGATGCCCATTCTAGGAAATTGAATTTGGGTTATTGAGTGAATAAAAAATTATTTTAACCAATCTAGGATTATGATATAATGAATTAAAAAGTATAAGATGAAGCTAATTTCCTTTACATAGCTATCTCAAAGAAAAAGAACTGTTATGACATATTTTAGAATAATAATCTTTGCAGTGAGAATGATATAGTGAATTATTTGTTAAAAGTGACATTTGATAACCAGTGAGAAAGGAAACAGTATGTATCATATACTTAGCTGTAGGATTTTGCTAATTTATATTTGTTTCACACCTGGTACTCATTGGGAAAGGACCAGGTAAATGGAATAGTTCTTGTGGGTAATGTGTACATAGGCAGAATAATGTTATTTTTTTTAAAGATTTATTTATTTGTACATACAGAATTGGGGTACAGGCCAGAGAACTCAGGGGCGGTGAGAGGCTTCACCAGAGACAGAGTGGGGAGCAGAACAGGCAGATCGACGAAGTACAATGCCGAGGGGAGCAGCGGGCGGGTCAGGAGAGGTCTGCCACGCCATGTGGTCACCTCCGGGGCAGGCAGGGATCGAACTCATGCGGAAGTGGCTTTAGCTTCTCAGTGCAGTGCTTTGACACGCTGCGCCACCAGGGAGGGCCAGAATAATGTTATTTTTTAATAGACTGTTTTGGAGGACAAGTTAAACAAAACATTCATATAACTGTTCTGTAAAACAAGTCCATAAAAAATCTTTGTATATATACAATTGAAAAAAACTAAGGATAAAACCAGCTTATTTCATAGAATGGTAATTACTTTTCACAAGAGACCCTTTCACTCCTGTCTGCTGAAATCAGGGTACAAGTTTTCATGTCTCAAGGGAAAAGTATATAAGAAAACTTGGAATGTATCGTGTACATATTCACAATACAGAATTTGCTTGACCACCATTCAAAAGCTAGTGGTGTGATTTGAAAAAGAAAGAATTGTCCAGGTTTTTTATTTTTATTTTTTTTGAGATCATTAAAATTTTGATGTAGTTCTGAGAAATAATACAGAAAGTTTCCATGACTGAATGTCCCCTGGGGGTAACATCTAGCATGACTATCCCATAATATCACAACCTGGGCATTGACATTGAGATCATCTACTGGCCTCATTCAGATTTCATCAATTTTACATGTATTAATATCTCTGTGTGCAATTTTCCACATATAAAGATTCGTGTGACCTTTGCCACAGTTAAGTTACAGAACAGTTATAACAGTGATCCCTAGTGCTTTTTGTACTTATACCCCACCCCTCCAATAGCCCTTCCTGCCTCTGTAACCCTGGACAACTGCTAATCAGTCCTCCATCTCTATAGTTCTGTCATTAAAAATAGAATTGTGGGCCCTCTCCGGTGGTGCAGCGGGTTAAAGCACTGCACTAAGAGGCTAAAGCCACTTCAGCATGAGTTCAATCCCCGCCTGACCTGGAGGTGACTCACGTGGCGCTGCAAACCTCTCCTGAACCACCTGCTGCTCCCCTCAGCAGTGTACTTCATCAGTCAGCTTGTTCCACTCCCCACTTTGCCTCTGGTGAATTCTCTCACCACCCTGCACCTCTGGCCTGTACCCCAGTTCTGTATGCATAAATAAATAAATCTTTAAAAAAATGGAATTATGCAGAATATGAAATTTTGAGATTGACTTTTTTTTTTTTTACTCAGCATGATCCTTCTCAGATTCATCCAGGCTGCTGCATATATCAGTGATCTGTTCGCTTAATTGCTGAGGTCTGTTCCATGGAATGGATGTACCATACCTTGTTATCCTCCAGCCACAGAGGGTATCTAAGGTGTCCCCAGTTTTGGACTACTATAAATAAAGAGCTATGAATATTTGTACTCAGGTTTTTTTGGTGTAAACATAAGTTTTGCTTCTCTGGGATCAGTGCCTAAGAGTCCATTGCTGGGCTGTGTGGTAAGAGCATGCTTGGTTTTGTAAGACACCACCATATTTCCCCCATACTGAGTGCTGTGCCACTCAGCTCCCACCAGCATGAGTTGGTCCAGTTGCTCACATGCTCTCCAGTGTCAGTGTTGGCACTGTTTTTTGTCTTAGCCATTCAGCTAGTATGTAGTGCTGTTTCATTGAGATTTTGATTTGCATTTCCTTAATGACTTAGCAGGTTGAACATCTTTTCAAGGGCTTATTTGCTGTCTGCATGTGTTCTTTAGTGGAATGTCTACTCGTGCCAATGTCATTTGAAGGTTGAGTTTTGAGAGTTCTTGTATGCTTTGGATCAGGAGTTTTGTGAGTTATACGATTTGCAATTATAATCTTTCAGTCTGTGGCTTGCTGTCTTACCTACCACTTCACAAGCTTTTTTTTTTTTTTTTGGAACAAAAGTTTTTTAATTTTGATCAGATTTAATTTACCAGTTATTCTTTTCATAGGTCATGTTCTTGTCAGTTCTAAAAATTCTTCACCTAAACCTGAAACTCAAAGATATTCTCCTATGTGTTTTTTAGCGTTATAGGTTCTTACATTATATTTACATTCAAGATCCATTTTGTGTTATTATATGTATAAGGTTTGAGGTTTTGGTTACAGTTCCAGTTTTTTCTTTTGCCTATGGAGGACCAATTGCTCCACCACATTTTACCGAAAAGGCTACCCTTATCCTCACTGAACTGCCTCAGTGTTTCAAAAATCATCTATGTACATGTATGCGGCCTATTTCCAGATTCTCTATTCTGTTCCATTGATCCTTCCCCCAATATTACTCTCTCTTGTTTATCTTACATCCCCCCAGGCAGGGCCATAAACACATGTGTAGAGCTTTTCGGGGTAAAATATTTCCTTCAAGTTGGGGGTGCTAACAACATCTGCCACTGGAGTAATATGATCAAAAGAACTGGTATTGAAAACGAAAGAACTGGGCAGCAGCTCTCCTGTCCCCCTGTGACTATTCAAGTGTCTCTTTTAGCAAACCTGCCCCTTTCAGGACAGCTCTTTCTGCCTGCTTGTGTCTGTGCCAGCATCCTTTCCTCCCCTTCCCTTTTTATAATAAACCTGCCCTTCTGGATATTAAGTGAATGAATGAATAAGTAGCCTGGTAGCTTTCCCACTTAACCAGTTGCTTCTTTAGGCTTGTGCTACTCCGAGGCTGCCTTCTATGTAGCTGCATCTGTTGTTTTCAAGGGTTGTGCAGTTACACGCAAGCTGAGGATGGATGCAGCAGGGGTGTCTGCCACCCCACCACTGGCAACCTGCTAGTGGGTCGCAGTGCACAGCTCTCAGCTTCCTCTACCTGTGGGCTGACGGGAGCCCAGAAATACTGCATCCTCAGCTACCTTGAGGTGGGTTGACTTGTTTTCTTTACTTATTGGGATATTATTTAATCAATGCTTTAGATATAGCCAATACATCAGAGGGTGGGGGTGAGGTCCTGAGAACACTAAAGAAGGACACACCCTTCCTGAGACATACATGATACAATTAAAGGTTAGGAAAACTTGACCAATCAGAAAATAGGACTGAGCTATTTCATCTATTTTTTCTTATCTTTAGAATTTGACATCAAGTCAAGTTCAGTCTTTGAAAGGAATTGCTATAAAATGAGCCATTCTACTTAGTTGACTTAGTGACTCCCATAGAGTGAACATAATTGGTTTGTTCAGAGAAGATCAAAAGATCAAGGATCCCTCAGGGCCTCAAGGTCATTATACTGAACATTAGTTCTCACAGTTCAGCCTTATACAAAACAAGAGGGGGTGGGGAACTTTGCATTAATCATATACCAGCCTCATGATGCCATTTGGAAATTACATTGTCTGAAAATTCGACATGAACATATTTTGTGCCCATTTTCCTAAAGACCAATTTGATAAAAGGACCCACTGCTTTACTGGTTTTCCTTCCCTGAGTTCTGGAAGCAGAATGAGTATCCATGATTGTATAAGTGTCATACCTGCTGATATCAAGGCAATCACGTCAGCCCCTGAAAGGAGAGGATATGAAGCTTTGAAGGAAATTGGACATAAGCCCAACTTATGTCCAGGCTTAGTGGTCCAGGCTTTTCCATGTATTGTTCATCTAAAGCAACCCCTGGAGATCGCTGGGAAATGCTTTGTATTCTATTTGATTTCTAGTAAAATGGGATGATTATAAATAAATGGGGACAATACTTGGGTGCTTAGCAGTTTAACACTGCTCTGGTTTGGTAAATATGTAAGAATGCAAATTCCTACACGTGCGAGTAAATGACATAGTAGAAGTTCTGTTCAACTCTTAAATCAGGTGGGTAGATGTCTCCTGAAATTTACAAAGCCCAAGTCCTCTAGACCAAGAAGTGGTTCTCAACTCTAACACTAGAAACTTCCCAACACTTATATAATCTATCTTGCTCTTCAATCTCTGGCATTTGTGTACATGTTGGATGAGTCAACACACTGACAATAATTAGAAATTGATGTTCTTGTATCTCAGAGTGACACCACCAAATATAACAGTAAATCAAACCTGGGAGGTGTCTTTGGTCTAGAGAGTGACAGAAATCTTAAAAATTTTAGAACTTGGAAAAAAGGTCTCAAAATGTCTTTAGGTAGATAAAGTATTACAGGTATTAAAGAACTCATTAACATGAACATTTATAAGTACGGGGGGATTACTCCCCTACCCATCATCTAATAAAAGAGCTACCAAGCAAACTTTCCAGAAGCTTCAATTCAAGTGACCTGTAATGTTGAGACTCCCACATCTGCCTGGCACAACTAAGTATCCTCTGTGGCCAACCCCATCAAAAAGTACGAGTCAAACATGTTTATAGGAAAAGAACATATAAGCCCTAAAGTTACACATCTTCCCTGGCAATTTCTATAATATTACTGGAAATGCTTTGAAGTCTTGACATCTTTTGTGGGAATCATAGACCTTCTGCTGCTGATGTAGGAAAGTCCTATAGCAAACTTCTCCATTTTCAGGACTGATCAAATTGATTCAAAGGGAATCTTGTTTCCTATTTCTTTTTTAAAGAAACATTTATGGTGAACTTCAAAAATAAAAAGATAACATGGACCTCTTGAAGGACAGGCTTTCTTTGACAGATTGTAGCTGAAATAATCATTAAAATCATCGTGCATTCACTCAACACCTGTTATTGAGCATCCATGACAACAGTAAACAAAGCCTGTGCACACATTCAGATGAGTTCTACTGATGAAGACAGACAAGAACTTGATAATGGCTTCATGTCACCTTCAGTAGTGATGAGGGCTTAGAAAATAGATCAAGTAGGATAAAGGATGAGAATGGCAGAAGTCTGTAAGGGTGAGGAGGTAGTAGTTAGGAAAGACTGAGGTGATAACTTTTAAGCAGATACCTAAGAAGAGAAGTTACACAAGATACACATAGTGAGGGAAAATAACATTCAAGACTCTGGGGTGAAGCAGTCTTGGTGAACTCCAGAGACAGCAAGGATGAAGTGAAACTAGTGTTGAGGGAATCAAAGGAAAACAGTGAGAGTTGGCCTGTGTAAACCTTGGCTGGTGAATAGTCACTAGTGTCTTCGCTGTTGCAAGTGGTTTCAGCACAGAGGATTGTGATAAACCACCCCTGTTCCTGAAAGACTTGCTGAATATTTCTTCCAGAGGCCTACAAGTGCTAAGCAGAATAACTGTACATGCCATCACAGTCCCTTGGCAATTTCCTTCGAAGTGTTCAGTACGGATATGAGTGGAGATTAAGCAAACTCAAAGGTCTATCTTAGCAGTTGTAACCTTTGAAAATTCATCCTAAGCAAAACTAATTCTAACACTCTAATAAGAATATCTAGTCTATAAGACAAAAGGGTATGTCTTTCTGCTGTGAGTTTAGTGAAAAATCAAAATAACCTCCATGTGTAACAAAAGTATCATGGTAGTTTTTCTACCAAAAATTATGTCTAGAAAAGATAATGGTTGCAGATAGCATAGTGGCCAATTGTTCCATTAATTTCTTGCCAAAAAATTTTTTTCACTAAGGAAGTAATACCAACATAAAAAATATATTCTAATTACTGCTCTATAACTTCAAATAATTTTTAAGTCATCTGACACTTTTATGAGAAAGAAATTGCAGGTAAATTTGCATTTTTTGCCCCAAATGCATATATTTGTAAAACTGGTAGGTCATATTTTAGTTTAATTTGTTTTTGTATTTAAGCACTTATTGATGGAAAAATTGATGTCTTGTTATTTCCTCTGCTTTTTATTTTTAGCCAGATTGAAAGACAAATATAGTAAGTACAGCTTGTTTTTAAATTCAGATCAACAATAACTAATTACTATTCTTTATTTTTAATGTTTATAATGGTGCCGTCCAGGAGGAACAAAAATGCTTCACTTGTGACTCCAGATTCCCGTATGACCCATACTCCCAGCCCAACAGCCACACCATTGAGAATGTAATTACAAGGTTTGAGCCAGACAGAGAAAAGAAATGGTGGCAATCTGAAAATGGTATGGTTATTTTCATTTCCAACTTCTTATTTCTTCACTTTTTCAATAAGACATCTTTTTTTCTCTGTCACTGCAAGGAATTATATGGGAATGAAATGGTAACTGCCAAGAATATAGAGTCCCTCATAAGAATAAAATCACTTTCATTTTTTATAAAGATTATTTTTCTCTAGAGAAACTAAAGTGCATCTTAAGCACATAACTCAGAATATTTCCCTTTTCCCATGTGGGAGAAGGAACCATCTTTGCATCCTTTTGTTCTTTGTAAAAAAAAAAAAAAAAAAAAAAAAGAACATTAAAGAGATGTTGGAAAAGTAAGCCTAATATAAAACATATTGCTATAAACTGACTAATAATGCCAGTGGAATCTGAGAGTTAGCACTCTGTGTTTTTTCTTTCTTCAGTACATGAAGGGAATGAAAAAAGGTTGGTTTTGTTTTATGCTTCAAGCCAAGGACTTTAACATAAAAATTGAATGGAAAGGCTAGTTGGCTATTGACTGGAGTTCTTTCCTTCCTGGAGTTATGCCTTTCTCTGTTGAGGAACAATGGTGATATCGAAGCTCACACTGGCCCTGGCCATCTGTATTACCCAGCTGCCCTGGTTGGTTTAGAACTGACCAGAGACAGAATGCTCATTCCCCAGTCCCAGCCCTGAGCCTTATGTGCCCAAATATATTTCCATCCAGCCTGGATCCCCCAGGGCAGGCTGACTCACGCCCAGTGACCCCTTCTGCACACTGCTGGAATCCTTGCATTCCTCCCCCCAAACAAATTGATTCCACTGGCCACATCTTAGTATGTGGCTGCAACTCCTCTATTGTCTCTGGATACCTAAATATATTTCCTCCTGAGACTCCTAGCCCATTCAAGGGGCATGTGGAAATAATTATACCATAGAAAATAGTTTAGGGCAAGAATAACATTAAGCTATGTTTCTATTTCATCCATTGGACAAACACATCAGTAGTTTCTACTAAATGCCAATTTATTTGTTAATAATTCATTATCTCTAGTTGGTTTCTTCCTGATGAATGTACAGTGTTTTTTTTTTTTTCAAAGATTTATTTATTTGTGCATACAGAACTGGAGTACAGGCCAGAGATGCAGGGGCAGTGATAGGATTCACCAGACACAGAGTGGGGAGCAGAACAGGCTAACTGACAAAGTAACACTGCTGCGAGGAGTAGCAGGTGGGTCAGGAGAGGTCTGCCAGGCCATGTGGGTCACCTCCGGGGCAGGCTGGGATCAAACTCATGCTGAAGTGGTTTTAGCTTCTTAGTGCTGTGCTTTAACCCGCTGTGCCACCAGGGAGGGCCTGTACAGTGGTTTTTACTATAGTTATTTGTGATGACTCACAGGGTGTGCTATGTTTGCTGACTAGCTGCCTTGCCCACTTTTGTTCCTCCAAATGTCCTCTCTCTGTCAAAGCTGATTACATAGAACAAGTGTTCTCAACCAAAAAAAAAAAAAAGAGGAGCGAGTGGTTCTTCTTCCAGAAAGGGATAGGAATCCTTGACAGAGAGCCTCGGATGTGGCTACCCGCTCAGCAGCAAGCCCTTCCTGAGCTGTTCACACAAGAACTCCAAACTGAATCCATTCACTGCAATCCGTGACATATGCACTTGTGGAGTTTCTTACCAGTGGTGTCCATTAGGCAATGAAAACATGCCTAATCCAAACTGAGATGTGCTGTAAGTGTCTAGAGCATCTAGATTCCTCAGAGCTAGTTTGGGGGGAATGTGTAATAAAGCATTGCCCATTTTCAGAATATTGATTACATGCTAAAATGAGAACATCTTTGATACTTGGATTAAATCTATTAAAATCAAATTTCACCTGTCTTCACTTTTTAAAAGGTAGCTAACTAGAAAACTTTGAATTATACGTGTAAATCATGTTTCTACTGGACATCTAGAGAGAGCAGGCCTTCCTTCCTACCCAGAGAGGCCAGTCCTCCACTTCCACCCCAGATGTCCCTCCACTAACCACCTCAGTGCAACATCCTGGTCAGGACGTTTATCTTCTTGCCACAGAGTAATCCACAGGTCTTTACTCTGGGGCAAGTATTGCAATTTGTGTCTTATGTGAAGTAATAATTTTGACTGAAACTTATTGAATTATAAAATTCACATAGTTAAGTATTATGAAATCATTACCACTGTGAAGAAAAATCAAAGTTTAGTAGGGAAGAAACTTATAAAAATTGTTATTCAGGCCCTCCCTGGTGGCGCAGCAGATTAAAGCACAGCACTGAGAAGCTAAAGCCACTTCTGCATGAGTTCGCTCCCTGCCTGCCCCGGAGGTGACCACATGGTGTGGCAGACCTCTCCTGACCCGCCCGCTGCTCCCCTCAGCAGTGTACTTCGTTGATCTGCCTGTTATGCTCCCCATTCTGTCTCTGGTGAAGCCTCTCACCGCCCCTGAGCCTCTAGCCTGTACCCCAGTTCTGTATGCACAAATAAATAAATCTTAAAAAAAAAATTAAAAAAAAATTGTTATTCAAAGCTAAACTGAGGGTGTAGGCCCAGGAGACCAACATCTGAATCACATTTCTCACCCAAATCTGCCACCACCCTCTTGAGTTTTGGGCCTTGGTTGATATGGGTAAATTACACACAGAGAAAGATATCTATGTTTTTCTTCACAAAGGAAACAAGACAGCTACTAAATTCCTAACATTTTTTTGTTAACTAAAGGAAGTTGATTTCTAACAGACTTGGTTAATGGATTCTCCATAAATTCTGAGCAATCCTTTGACCTTACACAGTTTATTTAGCCAGAGCAATCTATGTTTGGGAAGATGTAAGTGCCAAAGGTTATCCCAGCCTCTTACCCTAAAGATAACTCCAGAGATGTGAGAGCTATTGTCTCCTGCTGCTCCGTCCAACAATTTGTAGTTATGACTAACTGGGTGGCTTGGACTGTGGACTCTCAGGATGCCACTTCTGCTTGTCACCACAAGATTCTTCATGGCAACACAAAAGCTATTGTCCTGTTGGCTTCACAGCCACTCCCGAGGCCACCCTGTCAGGACAAAGAGACATTTCCCAATAAAGCAAACAGAATTTTCTTTTTTTGGTCCACATAATAGAACTCTAGTTCAAATAATTGTTAGCAGCTGCTGGGAGAAGAGGGTATGTTGATTTTAACTAATTTCTGGCTTGCTAGCTTGGATGTAGTCGAGATTTAAGTTCAAGAACATGAGCCCTTTGTCCCTGCCCATGGGAAATGCCAGGATACCCTTGATGGTATCGTCACCCCCACATAGTGGCCATCTGTGCTGCCACCAAAGCATGGCTGTGGGCACCAGCAGGATAAAGCCTATCTTGTTCCCACACAGGCCTCTTCTCAGCATGGAAAACCATCCCAAAAGACCAGGACAGAGTACTGATAACCAGTTACATGATTTCAAAAGGTTTTATTACAGAGAAGACACAATGAGGAGTTAATGTAGTAGAGGTCTCCTAAAATCACTGATTTTCTTTTCTGAATTTTTCTTTAGGTCTTGACCATGTCAGCATCAGATTGGACCTGGAGGCATTATTTCAGTTCAGCCACCTTATTCTGACCTTTAAGGTACAGACCTATAGATTTACTATCCCCTTTAAAATTCTCAGCTTCCCTGGAATGTCCCTTCCTTTGCAGAGAACAAAGAGCTTTATAAATCTGCACTCTAATGTTGTCATCTTGGTTTTTGTTCTTGAATGAAAAACAAAAAAATATCACCACTCATTAATAACTTATGTGGTGAACAGTAACAACAACAACAAAAATCATAGAAGACACAGCAAAAAGAAAACTTTAAGTGCTGGGGTGATAAGAACCGCAAAAACTAGAAAGATACTTTTCAGAAATAAAGGGCAAGCATTTAGGGGAATATGGGAAGATTGTGATCAAGAGAGAAAGAACAATTGAAGAGTCTTCACAGGTTAGTTGGATGCCAGAGCAAATCCTATACTGCAGTCTTTCTAATTGTGATGGGCGGCTGGTGCTAAGTTTGGTAATAAAAAATGAACAGACCAGTCTTTACCATCAAAAGAGCTCACGGTCTAGTCTTACACATGTATACAGAAATAGGAAATTCTAATACCAAATGATAAGTGCAGAAATCAGCATTTAAATAGACCACTGGGGAGTTAGTTGGTGGTAAAATCTGCTCTGCTCTGGGGACTCACAAGTTATTTGAAGAATGTATTAAGAATTGCCTCAGGAAAAGTATCCTAGGCAAAGAAAACTGCATGCAAATCACTATAAAATACTAATTACATTAGTTTTTAAAATTACATGACATCTTTTTTCAACTAATAATCCACGTAGCCATACACTTTAAAAATGGATTTAGATTCTGAGGATAAAGTATATTTCATAAATACTTGCCTACTTACTGGAAAGGGATTTTAGCTTGTTCATTGTATGGTAGATACTAAAAGATGCACATAAATTGTGAAAAAACAAATTCAGAAAATACATACATATTCCATGGGAAGTGAGTCATAACGTGTCCCTCTGTGATGACTGCAAGGTTAACTCATTTTCCTAGACTTTTCGGCCTGCCGCCATGTTAATCGAGCGCTCCTCCGACCACGGACACACCTGGAGGGTGTTCAGATACTTCGCCAAAGACTGTGCTGCCTCCTTCCCCGGCGTCCAGTCAGGCCAGGCCCAGGGCGTGGGAGATCTCATCTGTGACTCAAAATATTCAGATACTGAACCCTCCACTGGTGGTGAGGTAGCATTTACTTTCTTGGATTTCTTTGAAATAATTTAAGCTTGTGGTCAACTGAGATGAAAACAATTCAGGTAATGTTCACCCAACTATAACGTGTTATGGTTGCTTGAGAATGAAACTGTCTAAACTGAAATGAGTACCGAATGCATCTCAAATCTAGGTAAATGATAATAATCCTACACAGAAGTGCCTGTCGAAGGTGAGTGGGGCAGTGGGGTTTACGTCTGGGTGGGGCTGGACTCTGTGACACCAGGTGCCCTGAGGAAGGGACCTCTGTGCCTCCAAAGGAGCTATCTAAGCTAATGGTAGCCCTGGGTTTGCTCTTTCATCCAAGTTCGATCTGTGCCCAGAGGTGATCCACATAGCACGACAGACCTCTCCTGTCTTGTCCTCAGCAGTGTACTTTGTCGCTCTGCCTGTTCTGCTCCCCACTGTGTCTCTAGTGAATCCTCTCACTGCCCCTATACCTCTGGCCTGTACCCCAGTTCTGTATGCATGAATAAATAAATCTTTAAAAAATAAAAGTATATTTAGCAATGATGTTTTTGGGTTAAAAAACTATAGATTTACCCACATTTGTTTCACAGGTTGTCTTTAAAGTTTTGGATCCCAGCTTTGAAATAGAAAATCCTTACAGCCCCTACATCCAAGGTAGGCACACCTTTAGATTTGTCAGACAGCTCCATTTTTTTACAGTGGCACTTAGAGGTATTTCTTGTTGCATTTCTTTAGTACCTTAAGGGGGTGCCAGGGAAGCAGGATGCCTTAAAGGTACTTGAAAGCGCAATCGAAATGTACTTGGATGGGTAGTTTTCATTGTTCTCCTTTCTCTAGATCTGGTGACATTAACAAATTTGAGGATAAACTTTACCAAGCTTCATACCCTCGGGGATACTCTGCTTGGGAACAATTCCCTCGACAAATACTACTATGCGCTCTATGAGATGGTGGTCCGGGGAAGCTGTTTCTGCAATGGCCATGCCAGTGGGTGTGGCCCGAAGCACTCAGGGCGGGGAGATGTTTTCAGCCCTCCGGGAATGGTGAGTCACTAACCCCAAAGAGCACCCTGCTCTTCCATGTCTCCTCCCCGGAGTTGTTGCAGGTTATACTCTTTGCAGGATCAACCATGGAACTACCAGCTTTGTGTGGGGTAAGTTTCATTCCACTGGCCTTACAGGTCATCTGAGGGCCTGTACAGGTCTCTAGTTAGAGGTTCTCGTTGGTTCTGCTGCATATGTACATGCCACATAATTTCCAGGTGGCTCATCTTACTCTTTTTTGTTTGTTTGTTTATTTTTGAGGGAGAGGACATTTGGTGGGAAGGAACTGTGATGTCACATGCATCCCCCTCATGTGATTCAGGAAGGTCCACTGGGGCTGTGACTTCACAGTGCAGTTCTGTTCTAGGGGCCAGTCCAACAGAGCGAGGTGGGAGGATTGTATTTTTATGCAGAGTCCAAAGATACACCCTGGGGTGTGTCTCATAAATGACTGGAAACTCTTACTCGTAATCCTGCAAGGCTTAATGTCGAGGCGCCTATGCCTTTCTCTTCAGCTCCCTCTATGTTTCATTGAGAGCAGAGCTTCTCCTTTTAAATGTGGGCATGTAGGGCATTTTGGATAAAATTACATTCCTTTCTCCAGTTTCTTTTTTTTTTTCTATTTCCCTGTATTTCTTTATGCTCTTCATACTCCCACCCTCACCCCTCAACCCCCTCCCCAATACACACCACGTCCACTTGTTCAATCCCTCAATACACTGTGGGCTACTTTGTGTTGCCCTGAAACTAGAATTCAGAAAGGTCAAGTAATTTATTGTAACTATTCACTGAATATCTTAAATTTTTAAAAATGTAGAAGTCAGTTAAGCTAATAACAAAAAGTAGCCAGCATTGATGCCACAAAGGCTTGTGGGCCTGAGTTTGCAGAGGCTGTGTGGTGCATTGCATTTTCTGGCTAGAGTAAGTCCTCTTTTAGCACTGTCCATGGTCACTGCAGGTTCACGGCCAGTGCATCTGTCAGCACAACACAGATGGTCCGAACTGCGAGAGGTGCAAGGACTTCTTCCAGGATGTTCCTTGGAGGCCAGCTGCAGGCCTCCAGGACAGTGCGTGCAGAGGTGGGTGCAGAGTTCTCAGCAGACCCGAGTGTGCTCTGATTTCCTCATTGTGAAGAACTTTTAGTTCATTTCTGTGGTGTTGTCGGCATCAAAGGTGGTGAACCTTGCCTTCCTGCTCCAGCTGGGGGGGATATCCAGATACCTCCCTTTATCCCAGTGACTTCACAAACCATTACCACAAAAATATTAACATTAATTTAACAAATGCAGCAGTATGCATATTGCACAGCCCTTTTCCAGAGGAGAGGCTGAGCCAATGTAAGAACATTGGGGGCAGAGGCACCCCGAGAGTTAGGGGAACACTAGATTTGGTAGTGATCCCAACTATTTTCCTGAACATGACCTTCAACCCAAATGTTGGGTAATAAGAGCAATGAGGTCTAAAATAAAGTTTGTCGGGTGATTATGCTTTTATTAAATATTTAGCCTAATAGGGTTGTAATTTGTTGCTGCCTCCAAAGTCTGATGAACTTCCAAACAAACTTGTTATTCAATTTTTCCCCAAACTTGGGAAAAGAAGAATTTGACAGAGTGAAAGGTCACTTAGAAGAACTTCAAGAAACCCCATCTGTGAGAGTCACAGTGTCCGAGACCCAGCAGAATGCAGTCTAAACTTATGCTGTTTACAGGGGAAAACCAACAGAAACAACAGCCAGAATTTACCAGCAAGACAAACAAATTCCTTCGAACAGATCATCTTCCCCTCTGTTGCTCCCACTGAGCTCCAGATGGGGTGGCGATGACCTGTAGCCCACAGGGCAGGAGAGGGCCTGGGGTGCGGGCTGAAGGATGGGTTCCTATGAGCTGGCCACTTGTGGGCAACTGTGACCTACCTGCTATCTGCAGGTCACAGCAGGGCACTCCTTGGCTACCCACAGAGTGGGCTCCTACCACAAGGCAGCCCGGGGACGCCTAGGCCCTTTTTGACCTGATGACGTGACTGCCTCCATGGTGGTCTCGGGATAACTCTGCCTGTGATAAATCAAATACTTTGTTGATGCCACGTGGCTCTTGATGTATGGTCATAATGTCCCCTTCCCTGTCCCTCATATAACTTTGTCCCCCCATTCCTATCCCACCCTCCAGACCTTATTCCTCATACCATTGCTGCATGATCAGCTTTTACTAGCCTGTATGCTTTCAATACATGGCACAAGAACTTCTGCTAAAGTAGCAGAATCTTGCCTTGCAAACCTTCTCCCTGACTGCAGTGTCCCTCATCGTGTTCTGGCCACAAAGCGGCAACCAAGTTCCTGTCACAACAGATGGGGAGCCTCTAGTCTCTTGGCTGAGAAGTCTTAGCATATACAGAACATTGGATGTCAAAAAACTCAAATGTATAAGCCTTGAAAATTATTCCTTCTTCCCCAAAAACTGTATACTTAATTGAAGTTACTATGAAAGAGACCACACCACAAATGATCAAACAAAAAATACCCACAACAGAACAACCAGATCCCCAGAAAATTAGCACCCCGTTGTTATGAAATCCCTTTAAACACAATTCACATTTTTCTTTTTTTTCTAGATATTATTTATTTAGAAATAACTGGGGTACAGGCCAGAAGTTTGGGAGGTAAGAGGATTCCCCAGAGACAGAGTGGAGAGCAGAACAGGCAGATGGAAATACACTGCTGAGGGGAGCAGTGGGCGAGGCAGGAGCAGTCTCCTGTACCATGTGGATCACCTCCCTGGCTGGAAATTGAACTGGTGCTGCAGTGACTGCTTTAGTAGTGCTGTGCTTTAAACTGTTGTGCCACCAGGGAAGGCTCTCAATTCACATTTTTCAAGGACATTTTTTATAAACCTGCAAACTCAGTTACTTGTACTGACTTAGTAAACGATGGGGTGCTTTCCTGCTAGATGAGTCAGTAAATTCATCTTTCTAGAACAACATGAAAATGACACCACTGGGGTCAAGATCACCCAATGATTTTGTTTTATTTACTTCACTTAAAAAATCTAAATAAAAAAAAATTAAATATTGGGCCCTCCCTGGTGGCACAACGGATTAAGACGAAGCACTGCAAGCTAGCTGCAGCTGCTTAGTGCAAGTTTGATCCCCGCCCAGAGGTGACCCACATGGTGTGGCAGACCTTGCCTGTCGCCTCCCGCTGCTCCCCTCAGCAGTTTACTTTGACGATCTGCCTAGTTGGCTCCCCACTCTGTCTCTGGTGAAACCTCTCACTGCCCCTGCACCTCTGGCCTGTAGTTCAGTTCTGTGTGCATAAATAAATCTTTTTTAAAAAATCTAAATACTAGTAGTTTAGGGAACACATTTTGCAAAGAATATATTATAGACTCAATATGCTAGAAAAATCCTTTGAAAACACCTAGTTAAAGTTTTATGTGCTTGTTGTATCTGCATCCATAAGAAAGGCTGGTGGGAGGGGGCAGCGTGAATGCAAGGACGGTGCCAGCCGCCCATCTCACTTCTCCTGGGTGACTCCTCTCCCCTGCAGCTTGTCGCTGTAACAGCCACTCGGACCGCTGTCACTTCAACATGACGGTGTACCTGGCCAGTGGAGGCCTCAGCGGGGGCGTGTGCGAAGGCTGCCGGCACAACACCGAGGGGCAGCACTGTGATCGCTGCAGCCCCCTCTTCTACAGGGACCCCCTCAAGGCCATCTCGGATCCTTACGCCTGCCTTCGTGAGTAGCCTCTGGCCGGTCCGTTCCACCTGTTTGAGCAAATGCTGATGGAGCCCCGGCCACTGGTGAACCAGGAAACATCTGGGTTCATCTAGGCTGGGGCGGAGTGTTTGATGAGATACACAGGGCCCTCGAGAATGCCGGAGGCCAACTAGGGAACTTAGCTAGTAACATGTCAGGCAAGTTGGCTACAGCATTTGGCCGGTGGAAGACAATTCAACTTTGCTTTTAAGGTTCATGAGCTATTACTACCTTACTTCATATTTTCTTGCATTAGCCTTCAAAATTCTTTCATCCTATTTTTATTCTCAACTTTTTTTTTTAAAGATTTATTTATTTGTGCATACAGAATTGGGGTACAGGCCAGAGGCTCAGGGGCGGTGAAGGGCCTCACCAGAGACAGAGTGGGGAGCAGAACAGGCAGATCGATGAAGTACACTGCTGAGAGGAGCAGCGGGCAGGTCAGGAGAGGTCTGCCACGCCATGTGGTCATCTCCGGGGCAGGCGGGAATTGAACTCATGGGGAAGCGGCTTTAGATTCTCAGTGCTGTGCTTTAACCCGCTACGCCACCAGGGAGGGCCTTTATTCTCACCTTTTTAAGAAGTACTTCAGATATATACAAAAGAATAGAGAATTATACCATAACCAACCACCAGATTTGTTGAGAAAAATCCACCACCAGATTTAAATGTCAAAACTATTATCTTATCCTGTCAACTGTGGACTTTCATTGATAAAACGTTGCTGGTGTTATTGATGTCCCAAATGCACATCTGCCTATTTCTTCCTTCCTTCTCATGTATTTATCATTTATATATATTAACATGTATTTATCATGATACCATTGATCATCACCATGCTTGTTTTTACACTTTCACACGCTGTTGAAAGCACACACAATATGGTGAGCTTTCAAATGAGATAAATGGTATGTTGTCCACTATCCTTGAATATTTTGGTTAACATTATACTTTGGAGATTTTTCCATATCAGGTGGCCTTAGTCCTCTACTTTTAATGGATTTCCTTCCTACATAAATGGCAAAATCCATTTGTCAGTTCTCTCTGGATGCTGCAGTAAGCATTCTCATACATGTGACCTTGTGCACCAGGAAAGGCCACCTCTACAGCCCACCCTAGAAGTGGAATTAAAGAGCCATGGAGCGTGAGCTTTTCAAAGTGATTAGGTGATACTAAAATGAGAACTTCTGCGCTCTAACCCCGGCCAACGCCTGGTGTTGGCATACTTGAATTCAAATTGGAAGTTCCCTATATTAGTGAGACTTGACTGAGGCAAACAAAACAAGTAGGTTGGGGTCATATAAATGCTCAGTTGACACTGCACTCACCTGACAGGCCATGCCTCCTTAGGCTTTGTGTCCTAAACACCTTGCTTACCTCACTCATCCCAGTACCACTGGAGGTTACTGCCTAGATAAATAACAACGCAGCTTCAATACCCAGTTCCAGGACCCGGTTCTAAAATCATATGCTTCTTCAAGCTATCGAGTTAGATTGCTCTTGTTTCATGGATACTGGCAGGAGACTTGAAACTCTTGGGTCAAAGACAAATGACTTTATTACTCATGGGAAGGCAAATAGCCAGATGGTGCTGGTGGTGTGAGTTCCAAGGTGTCTGAGCCCCCCACACCCACTGAAGCAACACAAAAGACACCAGATGCATCCTGCAACAATAAATGAGTTTAGGTCCCAGCCAAGAATATGGAGATTGAGAATTCTTTGATTTTATAGTAAGTGGAAGCAAGCCTTCCTGTCCAGGGGAAGATACTACCTCATTCCTGAAGGTGGCTTGCTGAAGCCACAATCCCAAAAGAGCAGCCTAGGCTAAGAGTAATCGGGCTTTGGATGCTGCCATACTCAGCAAAAGTGTTCCAATTCCCAGGGCTCACCAGAGATCCTCCCCCAGAACCCAGAAATCCAGCTTCTTTGGCTGTTACAAATATTTCCCATTATATAGGGGAAGGGTCTGCTAGAAAACTAGCATTTCAGCTTTATCAAATCAAAATACAAAAAACTGAAGTCTCTACACATGTAATTCACTGGCCACCTAAAAGCATACGATGTCGTAGATTTCAAGCTTTAATCGAGTACAATGTGGAATAAGCATAAATGGATATTTTTGCTCAACTAGGCACCTGATTGCAGAAAATTTACTGACATGATTTCTTTAGCATTGATACAAAGAACTGGATTCCCAGGAAATGTATCCTATCACAAGTGGCAAATGTATATACACAAATTTTATGAAGGTTTTAAAAGCTATATATTTATAAAAGACGATGAAATTGCTTTCCTGGATAGAATCAGGAAAAAAACAATGTTTTCAAACAGATAGCCTAGGAATATAGAAAGAGATCTGGAAATAACTAAACCAAATGTTAGAAACCAGAGTCTTATTCAAGAACCACTTAACAGGAACTTGATAATTACGCTTAAAGGAAACCAAGGAAAGAAAACTAGTATCCCGCTGGGAATTTAAGAAGACATTATCTGTAAATAAGGACAGATGAGGAACCAGTCAAAACTATCATAAGGTTCCCAGTTCCTCCCAGCTTACCTAGCCCGTGTGTGTGTGTGTGTGTGTGTGTGTGTGTACAATTGATGTGTGTTAAGATCGACTAACTTCCTTGTGTAAATGTTCTCTAAGTTGTCCTTGTTTGATCCTAAATATTTACATAAACAGGCATAAAAGTTAACTAATTTTAAGTCTTCAATGATTAAAACTCAGACAGAGGTGCTACAAAAAATACAAAGATTTGGTAGACTCAAACTCTGATACTAAAAGCTTACTGGAATTAAATTGTGTGACACCAAGAAATTCTATTGAACACCCAGCCTAAAAGCCAATGCATAGGGTTATTTCAAAGTAAAGCTACTATCTGCTGTCACCCCATCCCTTCCCAAAGGGAAGGGATTAAATTACACCCAGGGACTCAGTGCTAAACCTTTGGAGTGCCTCCCCCCAAAATTGAACTTCTTCCTTTTGGCTTATAAAATGAACCCAGCTTGTTCATTCCTTTCTAGAAACAACTGACTTTAATAAGAAGAAAATTGTCTTTGTTCCAATTGAAATAGAACCAAACTTGTTTTTCCAAAAGATTTTATCGAGAGTCATAACCAAATAACAAAGCATCAAAAATTGAAAAACTCTGTCAGACAGGCAAGTGTTTGCTTCAGTGATATCAAACAACTGGTTTAACTGGATTTGTTCCATTGAACTCACTAAGTGGTTTTATTTATTAGACTTGATGGCTATTTTTCTCAATCCAAAGCAAAGATGTATAAATGTGAGTGTTCCTCCAAATCAGGGAATTCATTTTTTTAATATAATAGTTTATTTTTACATCATTTTGTGCATTTTTCCATCTCAGTAGGGGATTAATTTTTTATCTTTACTTGCCTCCTGCCCAGTGAAATCCCTTGGAAACACAGCATCACAGAATAAGAGATGGCGGTGGTCAGCCTGAAAATACCAACACTTGTCCTCTATACCCATGCTGCAGTTATGCTGTTCCAGCCTCTGCACCCCAGTACTGAAGGGGTGACAGCTGTATGGGGCAGAAGCTCAAGCAAACTCTGGCTTTTCTAACATTTACCCTCTAGAGTCATTCAGGCTCTCAGCTTCCTTTTTTTCACAGGACTCTCCTTCCTTGACTTGTTCAAGTTTCTACTCAGTAGAGGAGGGAGGGGTGAAGGTTGTCACCCTTGTTGTTCCATTGCTGTGAGTGACTGCCTCATTTCCCAGGATCTCTTCATCCAAGCCTTTGCTCCACCAGCACGCTTTCAAAAGGAAAGCAAAGGCATGAGGATTTCTTGCTTTCCCCACATGGGTTCCTTCCAGGAAGAGTCAAAAAGGATAACAGTACTCATCTTTGCAACATATTTTCCAAGCTGGGAAAGAGCAAGGATGTTCTTAACCATGTTTCAGAAATTTTTGTAAATATTTTATGTAATTCCCCCATCTTATGTCTCTTGATTCCTTAATATATTATATATATATATATATATATATATATACACACACATATATGTACACCTGTGTGTATGGGTGTGTATTTCACTGCAGTACCCCACTTTTAACTGTCTCTTGTTCTTATTTAACCTCTAGAATATTTTTAACTATTTATATATTTTTAACTATTTGAGGTGAAATTCACATTTCATATCAAAGCTGTGCAACTACCCCCTTTATATCGCTCCATCATTCCCCCCAAAATAATCTGTTTTTCTAGTTTCCATGATAGCAGCCTTCCTCTGGTCCTCTGGCTTTAAATCCATTTAAAAATCTCTGTAAAAGCAAAATATATGGTTCCTCAACATTTCCCAAGAGTAGAGACTGGGAGATATTTCCGTGCAGCCCTTGCCGACCTTTCTAATCATATCAACATATTTCATGATTGAAACAATAGCTATGAAAAACAGTTGACGTGGGGGACGTGGGAGGAATGTTTTATTTACAGGGCGGTTTTCCCAGGACTTGGGATAAACTGACATAATGGTGTCTGTGTCCCCAGCTTGTGAATGTGATCCTGACGGAGCCATCTCGGGTGGCATTTGCGTGAGCCACTCAGACCCTGCCGTGGGGTCTGTGGCGGGCCAGTGTCTGTGCAAGGAGAACGTGGAAGGAGCCAAGTGTGACCAATGCAAACCCAACCACTATGGACTCAGCGCTTCCGATCCCCTGGGCTGTCAGCGTGAGTCAACGGCGGCTGGGCCGCCAACGTGCATATTTTAAAGTTGGGACTGTCTTAGCCAACTATAACATTCGCTGGTTGGAAATTCTTGAATCCTGCCAGTCTACGAGTATTTTTTTTTTTTTTTTAACTAATACAAAACTTCTCCCAACTGTTAAATTAGCGGAGGGCTTTTCTCAGTGGCTTGATGACTTTTTCATAAAATACCAGCAGGGGGCGCTCATATGTTCCCCGCGGGAGCAAACTCCAGGGAATGGAGTTTAAAGTGTTCACTTAGTTCCAACAAATACAAGTTGTAACACTAAAAATAAGTAAGTAAATACATAAATAAATGAATGAATGTCTCCACTAGGACCCCTCTATACACATTCATAAAATTACAGTGTACATTTATGGTAGATATATGTCCTGAAAGGCAATTTTAATTTAATTGTTTTTTTTCCCCAAATTATAGTCTCCCTTTCTTCTCATACCCCTCTTAGTGTTGCTCCTATCTCCTGTGAGACAGAGAAGAAAAAAATTGAAGAACCACAAGAGGGACTGTAGAGAAATAGAAAGGACCTGGGAGTTTTTGTGGTCAAATGGAGAGCCCCTTGGCTCTAGGCCACAGAAATTCAGAGACTCCTGCAGTCTCATAAAGCTGCAGATTCCTTCGGGAATCTGAGTAAATAACTGTTCCTTGTCACAGTTTAACGCACTGTATTTTTGCCCATATAGGGAAGTGAGGGTGATTTGCATGTTTAGAGAGCCTTTGTTGTGTCTTTCTGTAATAAATGGTCTTTTGCTTGGACTTGATGGCACAATTTAATTTCAGAACAATGAATTACAGTCAAGCCAATTTCCCATCACACTGTTGAGTATCCTGGTTCACGAAATAAGCTCAGGAGTTGCCAAACCATGATTTTTGTCTTGGGTTTTTCTTCTTTTATAACAAGTTTTCTGACATACAGTTCACATGCTGTATAACTCACCCTTTTTGTGTGCACAATGTAATGTTTTCAGTATATGCGTTGTATAATTATCACTGCAATCAATATTAAAATATTTTCATCACCCCACCTAGAAACCCCATTCTCTGCACCCAAGTAGGGACCCTAAAGACTGCACGTTGGGTCATAGCAGCAGTGTGCTCGGTGGCCACACAGCCAAAGCCAGGCAGCTGTCCAGCGGCAACTGAACGGACAAGCAAATGTCACACAGGCCGTTAACCACACAGACCGTTAACCAGGCTTGAAAAGGGAGAGAATTCTGACACATGCTGAACTTGAGTGATCTTGAAAATGTTGACTCACTGAAATAAGTAGGCATAAAAGGGCAAAGATTCCACGATTCCTTTTAAAATAACCACCTGGAATAGTTATCCATAAAAACCGAAAGGAGGAGAGTGTTTGTCCTTGGCTGGGGAAGGGGAAGAGTGCAGGCAGAGGTGATGCTTAATGCATGTAGAATTTCAGTGCTTCAGATCAAACCAACTCTGGAGACTGGATGCACAACAATGGGAGCGTAATGAAGCCCTAAATTAGACCCTTAAAATGATTCAGATGGTAAATGTGATGTTGTATGCATTTTACTGAAAAATAGAAAGGAAATCCATCCCCTTTTTAAAATTTATTTTAATTCTGAGGTCTTTGCCCGTTTTTGATTGGGTTGTCTTTTTTTGCTTATGAGTACTTTGTATATTTTGCACAATAGCCCCTTGTCAGATGTGTGATGTGCAAATATTTTTCCACTCTGTAGGTTGCCTTTTGTTTTTGTGGTGGTTTCTTTTGAGGTACAAAAGCTGCTTAGTTTGATGTAGCCCACTCGTTTATGTGTGCTTAATTTTCTTTGTCAGTAGAGTTGAGTCCCCAAATATAGCTTTGTGCTGGCTGTCCTGTCGTGTGTCCCATGTGTTTTCTTTCAGGTATTTTATAGTTTCCATTCTCATGTCCAGATCTTTCATTCATTATGAATTGATTTTTATGTGTGCAGTTAAATATGGATCCAGCTTTGCTTTTCTGCACGTGGCTCTCCTGTCTCCTACCTCGTCCCTCTGGCTGCCTCCTCCACATCCTCCTCCTCCCCCAGCCCTGCGAAAGCACTAACCTACTGATTGCCCCTATGGATCTGCCTCTTTCAATGCAATCATGTAATAGTGGTCTTGCTTGACTGGCTGCTTTCACTTAGCATAATAGTTTCAATATGATGAAATAATATTCATGTAGAGCATGCATCAGCACTTAATTTTTTATTGCTGAATAATACTCCATTGTATAGATATACCATATTTTATTTACATACTCATCAGCCCATGGGCATATGAATTGTGTCCATGAGCATGGTTATTCCTGCCAGGGAGCCAGTGGGGCAAATATATCTCTTGCTCTGGAGGCATTTACAACGTAAGTAGGATACAGAAATGTCTATAGGTAGAAGGAAAAGAGGAGCGAGAAAATAAAAAGCAGAAATAACAAGGCAGCAAGAAACAGAATGGACAGAGGGGAAATGACAGATGTCTCTTCAGAGAAGGAGCGGATACTCAGGAATCCTTGCCCCTGGTCACCCAGCCTAGCCAGCATCTTTGGGATTATCGTGTAGCGCCCAACCAAGCTTGCACGAATCCTCCACTTTGTTGTCCCAGGAGAACTGCACAGAGTGCTGGAAGCACTGGCCCTGGATTTCCGAGGCAGGTGGCACTCAGTGCAGTGATGTGCAGCCAGACAGCCAGCATGCTGGGCAAAAGCAGTCTGCGCAGTGTCCTCTTGGCCAGTCGTCTTATGCAGTGTGAGCCATTAAGGACATCCCTAGGCGTGGGGAAATCAAAATGAAAATGATTGTGTATGCTCTAATTTCAGCCTGCAACTGTAACCCCCTCGGGAGTCTGCCAGTCTCCACCTGCGATGTGGACACAGGCCAGTGCTTGTGCCGACCATTGGTGACCGGACCCCACTGTGAAAAATGTGCTGTATGTATTGTTTACACCTTTCCTTCCAGATAAGGGTGCAGACTCCCACTGCCATCGCCTAGAGAAGACTAGGTCTTGTTCACTGTTTTTCCTAATCCTGTTGCTTTGCAGTGCTCCAGTACTAAAGGTATTTATGCTACAGAAATCAGCAAACACTATATACCAGCCCCTTACCTTCCTGCAGAGAACTGGTTGTTAAATATTTACCAGCTGCCACTGGATTGGATTGAACTGGCCAAGTCAGTAGTTTTAGCTGTTGTTCTCCTGGAAGTGCCAAGCTGTAATATATAAAAGCATTTTTCTGCCTTTGGTGTGTATGTGGGTGTGGTGTGTGCACCCCTCCTGGATCAGGAGCCTTATCTTCCAGTTCTTAACGGGCCCATTGCTCTCCCTGCCACTCCTTGCCAAGAAGTGTTTTGGATAACCTCATTAAAAAAAAAAAAAAGTAGGTCTAAAGTTACTGTGGGAAATAAATTCTTGGAGTTTTCACTAACTCCACTAATATATGAACTTGTATGTCTTGAGGATAAAATAAAAACTTTTTACTCCATAAGAAATGTGCCATGCAGAAGTTCAAACCCAACTTTTATTTTATTTTATTTTTGTTCTCTGCTCTTGGCAGTCCACGATGACATTTTAAAAAGAAAAAAACAAAATACTAACCTCATAAAAGAACAATGACCTTGATGTGTCTGAAGAAATGTAGCTGATAAATAAGAAACATATGCCTGTTGGGACATAGTTTGTAGTAATATTTTAGGTCATTTTACTGAAAACATATGAGGACAAGGCGGGGAGAGACAGCCAGGACGTTGAAGCAGGAACTCTATGTCCCGTATGTCAGTGCAGATAGAAGTCTAACAGATGAGGGTGGGTCACTCCCCATTCAGCAGTTACACAGGTGCATCACGAAGGTGAGTGCAGAACTGGCTAACAGGACGAGCTGCTCACTCCAGACAAGCCTTGAATTCAGGCTGAACTTTTTTTTAGCAGGTAAACTGCCACTGTGAAATGGGAGGACAATAAGTGAGCAGGGACCGCCCTGTGGGGAAATTGTCCAGCATGGCTGAGTCCACACCCCCGCCAGGTAGCCTCCCCATCCACCTGGCTGAGGTGGCCTGGCTGGCGGGAGTTTTGCAACCACATCGTGAATGAAACAGCTCATTTCTCACTGTTTTTCTAAATTGAATTTTATTTTTGGGGAAAAAATAGCAAAAATGCTTTGTAACAAACCATATCGATTTTGAATGTTTAAAATAGGTCTTTTTAGTGAAGTTGAGTGTAAAATGTCACTAAGATAACCCATAAAATATGGATCTTTAATACCCACATTTCAAACGAGTTTCATGCCTATAAGATCTACATTGTATCTGAGCATATTAAATTGAGATTTGAGAGAGATGATATTTTTTTCTTACCATTTCATAGTAAATGCTATTCGATTTAGAAAGTAGTTGTTTGTATCTCACCAGCTGTTTATCGTGAATAAAGGTCAAGATGTTGCAATCAGGAAAAAGTCTAGTACTGCAGAGCTAACTCTCGCACGGGCCCTTGCTAGTGCCAAAATAACTTACTTGGAAATGAATTACTCTGCTAAACTGGGATATTCACATAAGACCTCAAAATTAGCTTGACTGAGATACCCACTCACCGCCCCTCCCCCCCAAAGATTTCGATGTCCTGTAAGTAAAAATCCTTAGGGATTTGCTGATAAGGACATCTATTGGCTTTATAAGAGCAGTTGCTCCCGGCTGGTAGGGGAACCTCTCAGGCTGGCCTCAACAACCCAGCCTGAGGGTGAATTGGTGCCCCCCAAGGCACAATGTGGCTTCCATTGCATTTCCACTTGAGGAACACTAGAGCAACGCTCAGGTCCCCTTCACGTCATGTCCTGGGGGTGGGTGGGGAGGTAGGTGTCCATTTGAGGTCATTCCCAAATACAAGGGAGAAAGCTTTTGTATGATGATTCTACAGGCCCTCTGGCTATTTGATCTGCATCTATTAAATTGTAGTGATTTTAATATTCCTCATAGCTGGAATCCACTAAGCATTTTGTCCTTATAGGTTGGTTACTGGGGATTGGAAAATCATCCCCATGGATGTTCACCCTGTGACTGTGATATTGGAGGTGCTTATGCTAACGTGTAAGTCAGTAAAATGAATGACAACATTGTGTCAAAATTCCTCATCATTTCCACATAAAAACACCGTTTATTCTGATCTGCTCCTAGTCAGGGCTGAAGGATTTTATTTCATGATATGCAAAGGACATTGAAAAACAGGGATCTTGAGACTAACTGTAGCCTCACTGACATATTATACTAAAAATATTTCCAAGGGTGAGAAAAACAATTCTCTTGACAGGGTATCCCAAGAGGCAGTAAGGTAGATGCCTTAAAATATGCAATCTGACCTGCCTCAAGTGTCAACTATTTGCCACACTGTAAAGGCAGGTCCTATACACTGCTTGTCCCAGCTTTTTAGAGCAGCTGAGGAAAGAAGAGCTCCCTGGGTTTCACGGCTCTGCATTTTCAGGACCAGGCAGGAATCCTCGCACCTCAGCATCCCCTCAGGACAGTCTGAGAGGACTTGGCCCAGCACCCCCTGCCTACTTTTGCCCTCACCTGCACTGTGCTTCTTTCACCAAGGGTTGGTTTCTCCCCAGGTGCTCTCCCCGGGATGGGCAGTGTGAATGTCGCCCACACATCACTGGCCGCAGCTGCACTGAGCCAGCCCCTGGCTACTTCTTTGTACCTTTGAATTTTTATCTCTATGAAGCAGAGGAGGCCACGCCACTCCAGGGACTTGAGTCTTTGGTTGGTATTTTATTTATTCTCTTCTTGAATTTCATCTGATGCAGTGTCTGCAGCTACACACAGCACACCCTTGAGATCTTGGTTAAGGTTCCTGAAAAACAATTGGCCTGCAAATGCATATAGAGTTTCACCCTATCATGGAGCTAACGATCATTTTGTTTATCTTTGTATCTTGATTCTAGCAGAGCTTGGAACTTAGTGTAAGCTGGACTGCATCGTAATGAAATGGACTTGACTTTTGCCTTTCAGTACCCCCATCAGACAGAATGTATTAGTTGAACAGCTTAATTACTTGTCTGCCTCCCCCAGGACACTCTAAACCTTGAGAGGGACAGGAGAGCCTATGCCCTCCACTATTGCTTTAGGACCTAGCCAAATGCCTGACATGTGGCAGGAGCTTCACTGGTCTCTGATGAGCCAGTAGACATATGACAGAGTGTGAGCTGTGCTTTCTGGCCCCTGAAGCTGAGCTGAGGTTAGCAATTCTCACTGAAGCTAGGCATGCTGAAGAAGTGAGTGATCACAACTGTTGCTTGGTACGCTGCTTCATTTCCGAGGAGTCATGGGCCTGCAGGCTATGTTCCCTGAAAATGTGCTTTAAAGACTCGTTAGAAGAGCACACAGAGATGTGCCATGATCCATGATCACAGGAAATACAAGTTAAACTCCCATAACCTTCTCCCGCTTGATAGGGGAGGCAGAAAGAGGCCAGTCTTCAAGGGGGAAAGCCTGTGGAGGCCAATGCTGAAGACAGGATTTGATTAGAAAATGGGGAACTCATCTCAGCTTCCCAGGACTAAGTCAGTCCCAGAGATCCTTCTCCTGGGGAAGAAGAGACAAAATTTGCTCTTTTACTGGTTGGCATTGGGGCAGGAGAACTTACAGTCTATACTCAGATTTACAACTATGGTGAACAGAATAAAAATGAAATAGTCCTATGTTTAGATTCTTCTTCATGACTTTTAATATTGATGGTGACAAAAAAGAAAAACTTTTGAAAAGAATACTCCAACTTATGCTATAACTAGTGTGAAATTATTTACACACACACACACACACACACACACATATTGTCTTGTCCCCCAATTCCTGCAATACAGAGTAACATTTTTGTAATTGTCTAAGTGATAAGAGCACTAAGAACATCTTTTGTTCTAATATGTGTTCTTTGAGCCTGGTCCTGACTCAGAGCACCTAAATCCCATGGAATTTCCTGAGTGATAAAAGTGGCTTTTGTTCTAATAAGACATTGTTTGGTGGGCCCCTGAGGGGAGCCTGTCACTAGAAAGACCAAACCATGACTGCAAGCTACAGAGTTTCAGCTCTGCCCTCACCTCTCATTCCACAAGACGTGGAGATGGACTAGAGATTGAGAAAATGGTCAATCAGACAGGATGATGAGTGATCCATAAAAATTCCAAAAAGTACAGAGTGCAGGGAGCTTCCAGGTTGCTGAACACATCCATGTGACAGGAGAGAGATGCACCCTAACTCTTCAGGACCAGAAACTCCAACTTAGGGAACAGTTACCATCCTTTGTGTCTCTTTATTTGATCTTGTATACAAAAGGATATATCTATGTCCTTTATTATGGAACCCAAATATATGGTTATGGGAACTCCATCAGGAGTACAGAACCTGGACTTCTGATTGTTGGGAAATGGGCACACTGTTTGGGGGCTCAGCTAATAGCATCAAATCCTACAGTTTAACTACAGACAGAGAGTGTCACCTGGGACTTTATTAGACTTGGAAAATCTCAGACCCTCCCCACTAGCTACAGAATCTGATAAGTGTGTTAATAAGATCTCTAGGTGATTCCTATGCAGTTTGGAAAACACTGATTTGTTTTCTTGTGGAAACTACCTATGGTCACAAGAAGTTAATATTGATTTAATTTTTCACAGTAATGATTTTAAAATGGTATAAAGTTAATTCTATAATATGTTTTCTGAATAAAATTAATAAGCTAGTTTCAAATTTTGTGTTACAAGATGAACATAATTGGCAAGGGGGGGATAAAGAACAATTAAACATCATCCCCGTGTGACCTGTCTAAAGAGTCCTCATCACAGTGAGGTAGAGGGTAGGTCAGGGAGCTCGGCTGAGATCTGAAGAGTAAACATCAGAAGAAAGTGGATCCCTGAAGGGGGTCACAGCTGACCACAGGGCTGAATGCTTCAGATGAACAAGGACACCTGTAAAATTAGCACTCTTGTTTGTTAAGCCAACAATAAAACACCAATAAGTAAATATCCATGATCAGGGTAAGGTGAAAATTTAGAAACATGCTAATTGGAGATTATAACTCCAATTTGGATCAGCATCAAAATGGCTAAGTAGACAATGTAATAAAAGAGAAGTCCCTGAAAACCAAGACTTTAAAAAAACTGGATACGTTTGAATATAATTCCTCTCCTTTGGTTTAACTTGTAGAATTTGTCTGTACTGGCAGACCCTCTTCTAGGAGTTTGTCAGACCAAATCCTGCAACTTAGGAGCTAAGAGAAATGGAGATGAAGCCTATCAAAAATTATAATTTTCCATACCTATTATTGAATTTCTACAACTTTCTCCTTGAAATTTCACACTAAAACATAGCATTTGTATTTTTTTAATGCCATAAAATCAACTGGTAAGAATAACTGATTTTATAGCTTAGAATTTCACTAATATAGAATCCTATAAAAAGTAAATCCAATACACGGTCTTACAGTCACCATGTCATAGAGAAACAAAAATAATAAACTGCCTCTGAGATCTTCCTGAAGTTATTAAATGAGAATCATGTTAAAATCTTTGGGACAACTGGAACTTCTGTTGATAAATAAAAATGTTTTTTCTTTTTAAGATGTTAACAACAGCTTTGCCTACATGTGACATGTATTTCCAGCAACAAGAAAATGATTTCATAATTGACAAGGGAAATATACTACTGAGGAGAAATCAGAAGCAAAACTTACACATTGACCAGCAGAACAAAGTAAGTCATTTCTTCACCACCACTGTCTATCCTGCAATAAATAAGTAATCTGGGTAATGCATTCAGAGCCATGCCTGGCCTGTGTAAACACTCAATGTAAGATTTTATCCTCAGGAAGAAAATGGAGGAAAGGAAGAACTAAGCTCAAAGGAATTAGAGCCCTTAAGGAACACTTCAACAGGTTTATTTCTTTGGAAGATGAAAATTCCTGGAAAGTTGCTTTCTGGAGAGCTGTAGAATCAGACACATTTAAAAAATAGTATTTGGAAGTATAGGAGTGCCCTTCAGGTGGAATCATCATAGTGCTCCCACTACCAAAATTCCAGTCCTCCATCGTAGGAAAGCCATCATTATTTGCAGATGACATTATATACATAGAGAACCCTAAATACTCCACTGACAAACTAGTTAACACAATAAAGCAGTTCAGCAACCTTGGAGGTTTCAGAGTCTGACACTTTGAATTCACAATTTCTTGTTACTTTAGTAAGGAAAGACACAATGCTAATTGAAGAATAAAGGCCACATGATTGTCTCTGGGAATGGTGCATGGCTGTTCCTTCAATTCTGAAACAGAGATAGGTCAGTGCCAGATTGGTGTCAGAATGGGTCTACTCTGCCAGGGTTCTCTGTCCAATAACTTTCGAAAGCTGGAAAACATCCAAAGATGTTATATCCATCCAACCAACATTCATTAGAAGTCAACGCCACTTTGGCCCACTTGTTCGTTCATTCTCTACACTGGGGTCTTTATTCAGCATTCCTGTGTGCCTGTGCACGAATGGACATGTTGGAAAAGCAAATGAAAGCAGATATTGGCTGCCTGTTCACAAAGCCAGCCCCTGAAAAACTGTTCCTTACACTTAAAAGACTTTCTTAAGCGAATGAGTGAATAAATGACAACACATATTTGGACATATGTGACACCCTTGAGACATGATTAAGTAAAGAACCATGTACACAAACTAAGACCACCTGACAGGGTGGGCAGGAATCGGATGTGAGATGGGCTTCAGATTAAAATCTACCACTAGGTGAGAGAATCAGAAAAGACTTTGAAGTGGCATTTCTCCTGTGTGCTGTTCGTGGTGGCATGGCTTTCTCTTCTGCTGATGTCTGTTCCTGCACCACATCCCATGAAACCTCTGCTTCTCCAGCCTTCTCGGTCTGAACCTCACCTGAGAAAGAATAGAAGGAGTGGTTCCTTCTTCTCACTCCTGGCAGCATAGTTAAATTTTACTACATGTGGTATTGCCCCAGGAGTTCATGTAGCATGCAGATTCCAGGACCTTCCCTTTCAGATGCTGAGGCAGGGGAGCCAGGGGCTGATCAGAAATATCCCTATTTGCCAGCTTCCTGGAGGTGATTCTCACAGGGGTGATCCAGGACAGCATTTTGAGAAACACTGCTCTAAGCATCCAATCTGAGGGGCAAACCGAGTGTACCCTCCTCACTCCCTTCATGCTAAAACCAGGCCTCTCTCTTATTGAATCATTCAATTCTACTCAGCCTTTAAGAGTGGGTTCTGCTTTATCTTTCTCTGACATTTCCTGCACCGACAGCTGGACCTAATTAGTCCTTTCCATCTCTGGGGTCCCATAGATCAGTAATTTCCAAGTTGCAGGTCATGCCTATTAGTAAGTAGGTCATCCTATCAATTTACTGGGTCAGCTTAGTCCATGGAATAGAAAACAAGGGCATAGTTTTTGGTGAAAGTTTTGTTTCAGTCTTATATAATGTGTGTATGTGCACACATGTGTGCTTAGCCAGTGTTTCGGGTGGGTCTCCTGGACTCAGAGATTATAAGAATGATTCAGTTCATTTGCTTTATTAGGGAGTGTTCATCAGAAGGAGCCTATCGAAGACCCCTGGTAGTGCTGGCGGGAAAGGTGAGGCAAGGATGAGCTCTGGCAGTGTCTAGCTGGGATCCGATCCCCCCAAAACTGAGGCAAAATTGGCACCATGCAGTTGTTCCCTGCAGAGACTCCAGGGTCAGCCTGTCATGTTCCCATGTCAGTGAGCCAATGCTGTGGCTGCCAGGGCAGATGCAGATGAGTCCCTGGCAAGGGGACTCCCCTCATCCGAGGCACTTCCCAAGGGAGGGGAGCAGTGGAGCGCCACAGCTGCTGTGGGCACAGGAGCTGCAGGCTGGCTGCCATGCCGGTGGGGGAGGGCTGACAGCACCCAGCCTGTCCACCAGAGGCTTCTCCCGGCAAGCTCAGACCAACACACAGGCCAGGGCAAAATACAGCCACCAGGACCCCTTGGTCAAAACTAGGGGAAATGGACATTGAAGGTACGAAGACATAAGAAATGGAACTTCCTTCTGTAGTCTCTCTCCCAACTTGCCAACGTGTTTGTATTTGCTATTTATCATCATATATTCTAGCAACTGGGGGCCTGCTTCATATCCAGCTCGTCAGAAAAACTCTAAGGCAAGAGGAAAAAGCTAGATTCACAGAGGAGCTGAGAAGCCTGAACTGCAACAAAGTTGTCTGCCCCTTGGAAGACAGTGGAAGACAGGGCCAGTCCTGCACACCCCGAGGCAGGGGTCACTGGCTGTGAGCTGGGGGCGGGTGGGAGAGGCGTGGGAAGGCAGCTCTGGAGAGGGAGGCGACTGTGAGCTGTGGGAAGCCATGCAGCAACTGGGAGGAAAAGGGGCAAGAGCAGGACAAGAGGACTGGTTTCTACTGCAGTTGAAAGGGTATTTTTGAAATGTTTGAAAAATATTTCATCCAGAAGAGCTCACATCTCCTCTGCCTACTGAAGCCTGCTCTGGCAAAGTAGGTTCTTATTTAAGTTTCTGTCTTCAGTGTGAGACTCTAAACTGCTCTGTGGCAGGGACTCTGGCCTACTCATCTTGCACTCCTAGCTCACAGGCTGGCACTGAATTATTACTAAATAAACATTTTTCAAATGAAGAGTTTGGGGTAGATCACAGAGTAACTTGAACTCCAGGCTAAGTAATTTGGGTGTGATTCTGTTGGCAGCTGCAAAGAGCTTGAAATGCTTGTTGGCAGCCGCGTGCAATGCGTGTTGCACTAGGGAGAGAATGGAGAGAACAGCCAGAAGGCTGTTGCAGCAATACAGGCGAAAAGCAACAAGAGGCAAAATTCCGGTGGAGGCTGTGAGTGTGGAAAGGCAGATGCAGAGAAGTCATTAAGGAAGTGTTATCTGCAGGGGCCAGATGGCACCAGTTGACAGGCCGTATAGACTGCGGGGAACTTAACTAAGTGTGTTAAGAATTTTGTACTATATGCTCCCCCGACAGATGGAAGAAGAGCATTTCTCTGATTTGCATGGAAGAAATAGCTGAAAAATAAATCCATGTGGATTTTCTCATTGTCATGCACACTTAGGCAAAATCCATGATGTAGGCATGGGAATATTTTCTTTTCCTCCATACTTTGGCCAGTACTCCACAGGCATATCTCAGAAAACCCGAGGCCATCAAAGTGGAATTTGCTTAGTTCATTAGCACGTGGGGTACTTAAAATTAAAGTGGTTTCCAGAGACAGAGCTTTTAAATCAATCATTCTCTTCAGGAATATAGGCCCAAAAGCTGCAGATTCAGCACATTATTGTTGCCTGTATTCTGGACGGTATCCTGGTAGGATCATTTATATTTGTCACAGATGGCTCATAACAGCAGGAAATACACATCATGGTGGGGGTGGGGTTTTCTGTGAAGCCTTCTAGGTCTTGACTGTAAGGCAAAGCTATGTATGCTTTTCTCCAATTTTAGGACTCTGTGGGTTTTGGCCAGATGTCTGCTGTTCACATTGTTTTCCGAGAGCCGGTCCCTGGGATACCAGTTACGTGGACTGGGCCTGGGTTTGCCAGGCTTCTCCCAGGGGCTGGCTTGAGATTTGCTGTCAACAACGTTCCCTTCCCCATGGACTTCGTCATTGCCCTTCGCTACGAAACCCAGGTATCCTTTACTTCCAGTCTCTTCGGTGCTAAAAAGCTGAAATGCATTCTCCAAAGGGTGTTTCCTTTCCACTCTTGCTAGATGGCTTCATAGACTGGTTTGCAAAAAGGAGAACATCTGGAGAGCATTAGAAAAACCAAAGGGTTTTCCAAAGAGATTAAAGCAACACAAGTGAGCCTCACACACTTTATTCCATGGAGAGCTCAAGTTGCAGTTATATATTTAAGGTACAGATTTAAGGAAGTGGTGATGGAATGTTTGTGTAAGAACAATAAATAACTGAAATAACACAAATCGTGCACTGCTGGGAATTTTTGTCCCTAAATATTTATAAGCTAACAAATGTACAGAGATTTAGACTCACAGAGATGCAAAAGAGACATTATTATTAGCATTTGGATTCTTCCTTGAAATGAGAAAAACTAAAGGCAGAATGCAACCTGCCACCCACTGCCTGATTACTAGCCCCCACCCCCCTTGAGAAAATATAAGACAGACTAGGAAACAAATTAGAAAATATTTTATCTAGCGCAGTCATTCCTAGCTTTTGCATGACATTAAAAATATATATAATCTGAAATCTCACAGACTGTCTCCTCTTTAAATATTTTACATGGCTGGGGGGCGTGGGGGCTCTGACTTAGGGCCCCCCACGTCCCTCCAGGGACTCATTCTGGAACACTCCCATGTATTGCATGACCATAGCTGTCCTGAAACTCTTGATATGACATAATTCTCTATTTTTCACTAACAACTGAAAGCTGAAGGACTTCAGTGAACTTTGACCTGGTGAGAGTGATAAGAAAGCCATTAAAATAGATTTACATACTTATTAATTTCCCCCATAGAAAAGACATGTCTCTGAAAGCTTTATAAAGCCTTTCCAATTTGTAAGGCTTTTTAGAATGTATATAATTAGCATATTCTGTAAATTTGTATTTAGAAGCATGAAAATAGGTATGGAAAGACAGTGCTTTTTAAATGACTTAACAACTTATTAAATAATATTCCATGTGATTTATATTATATCTTTAATAATATAGAAAAAGTATGTATCCTGTTATAAAGGATTCCATGGTTTTTTCTTTGTTCTGTAATACAGGAATATGATGCATTGTTTCTCTGGGTGACAGGGATTCAAGATAAGGCGTGTCAGGAATGCTAGGGAGTTTCCAGGTGCATGAGCTATAGTTGTAGCTAGAAACAATATTCTTCCTACCTGGATCACAATTCAGACACCAAAAAACTGGGCCTGAGGGTGATCCTCCAAGACTTCTTTCAATTCCCAAATTCTGTTGTCTGAGAGGACCCTGGGATCTAAACTTGGTCACACACACTACCCATGAGGTCCATGTTTGTGCGTGTGAAGCTGATGCCTGTGTCCTCACAGTGACAAGCTGTTCTGTCATGCTCGTCTAGTCTGCAGGTGACTGGACTGCCCAGGTCATGGTGAACCCCCCTGGAGGGAGGGAGCACTGCACACACAGGGCCCTTCAGCCAGAGTCTCAGTCTTTTGACTTACCAGCGGCCTCCAGGTATGCTTGGGGACTGACCTTGAACACTGACTATCTCTTAGCATTTCATTCATGTATCAATAATTTGTCTCCAGGAACTAAGGGGGAAAGGGGTTATCTTGAAGGAGACTATACTATTTATTAAGTGCTTTCTTTGTGATTCAGTATGTTTTACATTTAATATAATATTTGATGTTCCCAACAACTCAATGAGGTATATTTTATTATCAGACAACTAAGAAATTGAGAGTGAGAATGCTTAATTGACTTGCCCAAGTCTCATAGCTAGTGTAGAGCAGAACCAGGATTCCAGTCCAGACATCTTGACTCTAAGACTTGAATGTTTCTTTCCATTTTCTCTATGGGCTTGGAATGTTGGAAAGTGAAAGGCTACAGGAACAAGTGTTAAATAGCTTGGGTTATCTTGAGCAGAGACCTGCTAATTGTGAGGCCACTCCTTTTGTCTCAACACAGATTTAAGTTAAAATCTGTGGAAAAATGAAAGAGACCCTGTTGATATTACATAGGCTGGAACCTTTGTCCCATCTTTTTCCCAGAGCTGCCGTGCCAACCCACAGCCAGTAGTTTCTACGACTTTGCTATTTGGCACAATCCCAGGGAAGAGCAGTGGGAATCCAGGTGTGGTTTACTGTCCACTGTGCACCCACCCACCTGAGCTGGTCTAGACCAGGCACTGGGCTGTCCCCCATGGAGAGCCCACTTGATGGCATGGATGGAACACTGCCAAACCAATAGGCATCAGGGTGGCTAGCCCTGCTTTTGCCACTGAGTTTTTGCTTTATTTCTCTTAATACAGAATCGTGCTGCTTCCTACACCCATCTGTCTAGAACCAAACACAAAATATTCCATAGATGTCTATTTTTCTCAGCCTTTGGAAGGAAGGTCCCACGCTCATTCACACATCCTGGTTGATTCTGTAAGTATCCCAGAACATTGTGGGTGCTTGCTGGTAACTGAGCTCCCTTATAATTCTGTTTTTAGAATCTCTGGTAAACTGTGTCTTGAGACATATAAATGTGTTTGTTTCTTTATTTAAAAGAAGTCTAATAACAATTGCAAACCTTATAGAAGATTATGTGTCAGCCATAGCTTAGGACATTTCAGATACTCTGTTACAATATGCTTATGAGGTAGTACTGTCATTATTCCCATCTTACAGACAGCAGAACTGAGGCACAGGTTGCATGCTAGTGAGGCAGGCTGAGGAGTCAGAGCCAGACTTGCTGGTTCAGAGTCCAGCTCTGAGCCACTGCAGCATACAGCTTTTCAGAAAGTCTGAGGAAAAAGCTACCACTTTTATACTATCATATTGCAAGTTGCTGTGTTATATATACTATGCTTGCATGTCACTATGAGCAAGTTGCGGATTTTTTTTCATCATATACCTGTTCTTACGGTGCTTATGTAGTCTTCTTATAATTTTTAGAAGCATATTACTTGCGTAAGTGATTTTGCTGCATCTTCCCTCATCTTAAGCCACAGATGGAGTTTCCAAAGCTGTCACTCTGCACTAACTCAGGTCCAGTCTTCTTACTGATCATGGTAGATTCGCCAAACTACAGCTCCAGAAAGTTTTGTTAGAATACAGTCATGCCCGTTTGTTTACATACTTTGAAAGTACAAAGGCAGAGTTGAAGAGTTGCAGCAGAGACCTACAATCACAAAGCCAAAAATATTTTCCACCTGGCCTTGTACAGAAAGTTGAATTGACCTCTGATTTCATAACTGGATATCTGTATTCTGAATTGTATCTTCACAAAGTTCAATTTTGAGCCATCAAGACATTTTAACTATATGCCCTGGGATTTTGTTATTTCATTATATGCTATGTAATTCAGTCTGAGGCAGACAGAACTTAGATTTTATTCAGCAAGTTCAGCTATTATAACAGCAAAGAAAAGTCATAGATTATGTTACCAGAAGGGAAAATAAGAAAAAGAAGGGGGAGAGAGGAAAGGTAGGAGGAAGAATAGAAGGGAATACCCAGTTAAATTGAATTTCAGAGAAACAATGAATAATCTCAGTACAAATACATTCTATGAATTACCCTCAAATATCACATGACATATTGATACTAAAAAAGCATCCATTGTTTTTCTGAAATTCTACTTTAACTATGTGATTTGTATTCACTCAAGCAAACTTAATCAAAGATGGTCTAAGTCCCACACCAAAGGTCACTATAATCTCCTTTTACATATTATGATAGAAGTGAAGTGTTAAGGCAATTCTCCTGAATGGGAAATTTAAACTACGGTGATTTCCCTATCCACATCATGCCTATTCTCTACCAAGAAACTTTAAATAGAACTGTGTTCAAGCATAACATAGTAGTTACAGAAGGAAGAAAATAAAATCCAACAAGTTTAGTTTGGAAGAAGGGGTGCTGGTAGGCAACTAATTGGAACTTGGGCAGAGTATAGAATGGGACAGAAAGAAAACAAGGGAGTCCTAAATTACTGAGAGATGCTGATAGTATAATGATGATAGTTATGGAACTCAAGGTATACTCTTCATTTTAAACCCATAGCCTAAATATTTCTAAACTTTGTGTCATTCAGAAATTATCGCTGATCCATATTAGATGCAACTATTCAAATGATCAATTCCTCACCCATTCACCAAGTGTTTATGGTCCCAGGTGTATAAAATATGGTCCTCGTCGTCAAAGGATGCCTGATGCAGAAGACATATGCATGCACAATTATCATTCCTATGTTTAACAAATATAATAGAAATGGATTTGAAATTAACTTACAAATATATCCATCTTCAAGCCACCATTCTGTAATATGTAGCTGAGAATACCCTGAAGCCTGAATAAAAAGTAAGAGAACAGCCAGTTCTTAGCACTGTCAGAAACCTCAAAAAAGGCTCTAGGTCCCTGTTTGAGGATGGAGTCCTTAGAAGCAGAAGCTGAGACAGGGGCTCGGGGGCAGCTGTTATGTTGGAACATGTTAGTGAAGAGGGGGCTGAGGGAACAGGAAAGGATGGGGAACGAAGCAACCAAGAATTATACTAAAGTATAGCCTCAGCCTGGCCCCGCAGGAGCCCTGGAACATGAATCATGACAGAGTTGGTTCCCGGGCAAAGGGGTGGGTCTGTGTGTGTTTAAATCCTTGGCTACTGGCTCACCACCCCTCCCCTCATCTTCAAGGCTATCTTTCCATGAGGTGTTCAAATGTCCAACTTGGTGTGATCAAGCTTTACCATCACACCTCTATTGTATCATCCAAGCCATTAATAAATATTTTAACAAGTATTAGGTCATAAGATAAAATCTTGTCAAACAATGTAACTGTAGCTTTCTTCACATGGATATTAAACTGTGGATGATTCCGCTTTTGAATATAAGCTTTTAACGATGCATTTGCCCCCTTAAAGGCGGTACACTCTCTCTGCCAGCTATTCCCAGAATGCATCTGTGTAATATTGATTTTATGAGCTGTTAGTAAGAGTGACTTGGCTAGATGACCAGTCGTTAAATCAGTGAGGAAAAACTGAGTCTTAAAAGTATTTTTCGGGGCCCTCCCTGATGGTGCAGTGGGTTAAAACACAGCACTAAGAAGCTAAAGCCACTTCAGCAAGAGTTTGATCCCCGCCCCAGAGGTCACCCACATGGTGCCCCAGAGCTCTCCTGACCTGCCCGCTGCTCCCCTCAGCAGAGTACTTCGTCAGTTGGCCTGTTCTGCTCCCCACTCTGTCTATGATGAATCCCCTCAGCACCCCTGCACCTCTGGCCTGTACCTCAGTTCTGTATGCATAAATAAATAAATATTTTTTTTAAAAAAGTATTTTTCTTACAGAACTCTATGGTTTTAATATTAGTCTACACTAGAATCTCTAAGAGGCAGATAATTTGATGTAGAACACTGCTACCCCTTTGTAACTGAAAAAGACAGTAAGCAACCCTATGGAATATACTATCTAAGCTGTAATTTCTTAATTGATCACAGGTAGCCTAATTAAAGTTTTTTAAGTCTAAGAAAAATTTATTAGCAAGTAAAAAACATAATCAGATGGCAAACAAAAAGATACAGCCTTGTTTTCTTTCATGTAACCATGAACTGTGAGTATTGAAAGATTTCTTAAATAAGTTGAAAGCCTTAAAATCTTCATTCAGTTCCCAGGCAACTAGAAGGGTTTCAACTGAATTACTTTTCAACTACTATTTTCGTAGATTTTATTTATTTATTTATTTTTTTGGTGACTAAAATCTTGGACAAGAAACAGTAATGAACTTAAATTTTTTTTTCTCCTTATTTCAAAAGCTTGTCCTTATTCCACAAATCAATTCACTGGAGAATTTCTTCAGCAAGCAGGACTTGGATGACTATCAGCTAAACAATTGTGTTGAAATCGCCTCAGGGATAGGACCTCAGCTGCTCCCTAGCGCCTGTGAGAAGCTTCTTGTCAGCGTGTCTGCCAGGCTGCATCACGGGGCGGTGCGTGAGTATCTGCTCAGTGAGCTCCAGTGAAGCTCTGCTCTCGGCAAGTGCTAGTTGGAATGTGAGTGCTTCTGTTTAACTGATCTTAGCATCCACTCATGGGCATGCCGCCACCCAGGGAGAAGACCCGTACTGCGATCTGTCGATGAGTTGGAATCATCATGTCATACAATAACTGTACAGCAGAGAAGCCTTGCATGACTTTGCGATCTAGAATACTGGAACAGTGGTCCTAAAACACCAATTTGAAGATTTGGAATTTTAAGGATAAACTCAAAACAGCCTTTTCATCCCCAAATCTTCATTTAATCAATTAAACCATTAGGGTCAAAAACTAGGTAACCTAACCACTTCACCTAGCCAGAGAGCAGAATTTCTTACCCTCAGCACTACTGACACTCAGGGCTGCAGAATATGTTGTTGAGGCAGATGAGGCTGTCCTGAGCATTATGTGTAATATAGAACATTAGTAGCACCCTTAACTTCTACCCCTCCAGGCCAGTAGCACCCCACTTCCCCAAGTCACCAAACTGTGTCAAATGTCTCATGGGTATAGAGTGGCAGCTACAATGAGAGCCAAGTTCTCTGAGTTTTAGGCAAGTGCCTTTCCCATTATATTGCGGGGCTATCATTGAGGGAGCCCTCAATCTAAAAGATAGAGAACTTATAAAGTCTAGCACCAAAACATGAATTTAATTCATGAGGAATTAAATAATAATGCCTTTAATAATAACCACCACATTTCTACCCAAAAGACACAAAAACACTGATTCAAAAAGATACCTGCACCCCCATGTTTATTGCTGCTTTATTTACAATTGGGAAGACATGGAAACACCCCAAATGCCCAAAAGTAGGTGACTGGATTAAAAAGATGCGGTACATATACACAATGGAATATTACTCAGCAACCAAGAAAAAGAAACACATGTCTTTTGCAGCAACTTGGATGGAGCTGGAAAAGATCATGCTTAGTGAGATAAGCCAGAAAGAGAAAGAAAAATACCGGATGGTTTCACTCATAGCAGGGGTATAATGGACCAGGCGAGAAAATAACAAAAATAATGAACAGTCATATACCAGAGACATTTTGTGGGGGTGGAGTGGAGAATGGGATCAAACGGGGGATGGGGGAAAGGAAGTGCACAGGACTATATGACACATGGGTGACTCGGTGATGGGAAACTCATGAGGATTACAATTGAGATGAAAAAAAAAGTACAAAATGATGTAAAAATAAATAAACTATTATATTTTAAAAACTAATAATAATAGTCACATTAGATGAGTAGTTAAAAGTTTCTTGTGTATCTTTCATTAACTTGCAAAGTAACATTTATTGAGAACACACTATATACCAAACACTATTCTAAGTTCTTTGCCAACGTTGCTGTCTTTCATCCTTTTCATCACGAGTTGAATCCCATGTTGTCCCCATTTAATAGATGACATAATTAAGGATCAGCGAGGTGCCGAATGAAAGAGAGGTGAACCAAAGTCGCTAACAGGACAAGAAGCACCTCTCACTCCCTTCTCCTCTGCCTTCCTTCTTTTGCTCCCTGCAGCCTGCCAGTGCCACCCCCAAGGGTCCTCGGGCCCCAACTGCAGCCCTCTCAGAGGCCAGTGCCCCTGTAAGCCGCGTGTGGCCGGGCGCTGCTGTGACAGATGCTTCGCGGGAAGCTATGGTCTGGGCCCCCATGGCTGTCACTGTGAGTCAACAAGAGCAAATGGGGTCGCTCACTTGTTCACTGCCTCTGAGATGTGAAGATTGGGAAGTGGGTGTGAGGACTTAAAGGGGGAAGGGAGTAGGAATTTGGTGACATCATTCAGACTGTCTATATGGGTAAATGTAGGGGACTTTTCTGACTGTATTTCATTCATCCATTCAATGAGTACCAACTTGCATGGACTGTGGAGGACACTGAGTGATGGTCAAGGCATGGTCTTGCTTTGGGAGTTTTCAAATAGCTGTCGTCTAGGCAGGCTGTGGGCTGGTCACGAAGTCTGGCACACCGTGACTGACGTGCTTGCCCAGTGGCTAGAGATGGGGTAATGAGGAAGTAGGTGATACTGTCACCAGGTTGTTGACATTCCTGCTGCTGGGGTACAGACAGCTCAGGACTCAATTTTTAAGCTGTGCATTCCTAGTTCGTTCCTAGTTAGAAAGTCAGTTTTCAAACCTGTTGTGTTCAGGATACAGTTGTTTATCCACAATGTGAGCTGTTTGTGAAAATACTGTTCCCCCACGGAACTGCGTGAGGCAAAGGTTTGTTAAGGAACAATCCATGGATTCAATCAACGCTTATTAATAATAAGCTTATTAATGAATAATAATAAATGCTTATTAATGAATAAGCAACATGCAAGTTACTTGAGAACACCTCCAGGCAGGCTAATTCTTCTTTCAGGTTGGGGAACTTATCTAGCCAACCAGTTTTCAGAGACATGGGCATCATCCTGGTCCTTGCCGGCCCAGGAAGTAGTTCGTAGGTACATCATTACCTGTTTTTCCTTTTCCCTAGAAGTGTTTTGATGTGCTTGAAATCACAAAGGGACACACAACAAAAGAACAAATATTTCTTTCTTGTCACACCCTGTCAAAGAAACAGTGCCTTTTTTTTGTGTAGGGAAGATGAGCTCAAAGAATTCAACAACTTATCACATAAGGATTGATTCTCCACCTTCTCATTGAGGATAAAGAACAATCTAGCCATCTTGAGAAGGGTCTTATCGTTTTTGTTGTCTTAAAATTCAACGCCCAAGATATATGGAGCCAAGCTAAAAAATGTGTTGCTTATTCAGTTGTAAGCATTTATAAGACCAATTACTTGCAACATACAGTTCACTGATTGAATCCATGGATTGTTCCTTAACAAACCTTTGTCTGCAGCTCAGAACATGCCAGGCTCACTGAGCACTTCCCGGATGCTCTTTCTCCACCCTGACCAGCAGGCTAGGGAGGACAAAAACAGAGAGGGACTTTTTTCACAGTTCCCTGCCACAACTTTCCCCCACCCCAACTTGCTTCTCTGCTTTGTCTAGCATGTCACTGCCACCCTCGAGGCTCAAAGAGCACTGTGTGTGACCAAATAACAGGACAGTGCTCCTGCCATGGAGAGGTGACTGGCCAGCACTGTGACCAGTGCCTGCCAGGCTACTTCCAGTTTCCTGACTGTCGTCCTTGCCTTTGTAATGGGTTCTCTGAACACTGTGACCCAGAGACAGGGGCCTGCTTCAACTGCAGAGGCTTTACAACAGGAAGAAACTGTGAAAGGTATGCAGTTCTTATGCACTCTTATTTCTCTTTTTTTTTTTTTTTCTTGCGTTCTAATCTCACAACTCTCCCTGAAGGGCCACTGAGTAGAGACTCCACAATACTTAAGTGCAGAAGGATTGCTACAGGCTGGGGTCTCACCGTATCACTCCACCATCCTTCAGCCTCTTGTGAGCCAGAGAGTATCTGATTAAATCAACAGGCTCAGTTGCCCGGCAACTTGTTTTTTGTGTTCCTGAAATATGACATGTTAACTCAATTCTCTTATCCTCAGTTTAGTGGTTTAATGACTCTACAGTGGGACTTTCAAGCAAAGAGAAAACACCCTTATACAGAACAAATGAGCATCTTGTAAAATATTAAGATTGGAAATGCTCATTGTCCTAAAGCACAGCATATACACACTGGCCAAGGTGAGCTTCACCAGGAATATTTTGGTAAAAAAGAAACTGCCTTGACAGATGCATCGATGGCTACTATGGAAATCCTTCTGCAGGACAGTCCTGCCGTCCTTGCCACTGTCCAGATGTTCCCTCAAGCGGTCAGCATTTTGCCCGCTCCTGTCATCAGAATCCTTGGGGCTCAGATGTCATCTGCAGTTGTCTTCAGGGTTACACAGGTATGAAGCATCATGCATGGTGGCTTTTTCTTCTATCCCACATGGCTATCTGGAAAATGATCATATGTTCATAATTTATCTGCCTTGGAAAAATGAGTTGTGCAGAATCTAATCTAATGTCGTCTAAGAATATGGAATTTGATTAATTGCTACTTTGTCTGACAAAGATAAACAAAAATCAATGATAATTAAAATTTTGTTTCATTGAGCTATAGCTGTTTTTAAATAATGGTCTGGGAAACTAACTGACCAAATGAATACATATAAAATTAATTTATTTAAAGTAAGGTATATATGTGATTAAGTAACACAGATAACATAAAGCAGTTAAAAAGTAAAAGTTTTAATGAGCCAAATGGCTTTCTTGGTATAATTCCAAGCAATTAATTTGACTGGCATTTCATAGATATAACTAATTTTATAGATGTCTTGAAGCCCAGATTTGGACGTTATACAGACACTGCATAAATCAAGTCAGTACTTGTTTAATTAAAAGTTTTTATTTTGAAGAGTTTAGGCATGAATATAAACATATGTAATGTGAACAAGGAAAAGTTTATGAAGTCTGCTAACTGCTTTAGTTGCCCTTAGAAATAGGGCACTACTGTCATCACGATAATAAATTACATGACTGTTTTCATCTTTGTTACCTCTGAGGTTACTCGTGTTTCTAGTTTTTACTGCTTCCTTTCAACCTTTTCTTGATTTACTCAGTGGTTTGGTTGGTCAGTTTTGAAGAACTGAAGACTGAACTAGAAGATGAGTATTCTAAGTGGGATAAACCCAGATGCAGACAGGGGATTCACAGTTTGGGCACTTAAGCAACTGCAGCAGAGGGGTAAATAAGGACCCAGGAATACTGCACCCACAACCGCATTGTTTTAAAAGAAAGATTAGAGTCCATTCTTCACCAGGTCATCTTTGCTCAGAATAATCTTTTTACTCTCTGAATTGGCTAATACACTTAATGAAAGTTTCGTTATCATTTGGGACCCTTTTCCTTATTCATCCCCCATGTGTGACTGCTCATTATCCCCAGAGGAGCCCAGTTATTCTCTATTACATCAGTCTCCATGTCCTGGCCCCAACCACACCCTTCTCTTCTCTTCTTTCAGGCGTGCAATGTGGAGAATGCGCTCCTGGTTTCTATGGAAACCCCAGCATTCCAGGAGAGCCTTGCCGGCCCTGCACCTGCACCAACAACATCGATGTGAAGGACCCAGAGTCCTGCAACCGGCTCACAGGGGAATGTCTGCGATGCCTGCACAACACGCAGGGGCCCCGCTGTCAGTTCTGCAAACCTGGCTACTTTGGCTCGGCCCTCAATCAGACCTGCACAAGTAAGTTTGCCTGCTCCTCTCCTGGGGGTCATTGGCCAGTGGAGAGCAGCCTGGGAATGTGATAGCTCCAGTGGTCATTTCAGTTAGGCCAGAAGTGGCAGGTCCACCAGGTTGGAGAGCTGTTGCACTGAACTCAACAGCAGAAATGGGCAGTGTCCCCACAGGTATTTGCGATGCAGCCAGCATGGATTCCCTGCTGCTCTGAGTTTGCCTCTGACACCTGCCCTAATGTATTCAGAGCATTTACGGTTGCTCAGAATGTGGTCCACGGGCAATGTGCCACAGTCACTGGGAACAGGGGTGGGTGTGAACATGCAGACTCCAGGGCGGGGCCTTGAAGCCCTGGAATTGAATCTGGGAGTGATGCCGAGGAATGTGCATTGTATTGAGCTCACTGAGTGACTTTAACAGAATATAAGAATTGCTGATGTAGAAGACAATAAGGGCTTTGCTGAATGGCGTGAGATAAGATGAGACTTCCAGTCACACAAGTTCTGAGCTTTTAGAACATAGTCAGCAAAACCATATGTGCTTGCTCTTTTAAAAGGCCAGGAAGAGTCGAATGGGTTTGACTTACTCAGCTGTTTTGATAAATCCTGTACTTTTGTAAAATGTTCCTTCCCTGAGCCCTTGGAGAAATGATGCCCCCATTGTAGAAGACTCTCCATGAGGTTTGTTGAATGCAGCATTGCCACTGAACTTCCCTCCTGCCGCGGCTCTCTTACCCTAGTATGCTCCTGCCATCCTTCTGGGGTGAGTCCGGCTGAATGTCCCCCACACCAAGGAGCTTGCCGCTGTGACCCTGACACTGGCACGTGCCCTTGTCTGCCGAACGTCGCGGGCCAGACCTGTGACCGGTGTGCAGAAGGGTCCTGGAATCTGGTTCCTGGAAGAGGATGTCAGCCGTGTGAGTGCGACCCCCGGACCTCCCACAGCAGCCGCTGTGACCAGGCAAGGCACCTTCCTCATGTGTAGTGAGAGAAGGCAAGAGGTAGTTCCCAAATATGTGTACTTGTCTATCATGTCCTCTTACATAGTGGTAGTGGAGTTGGCATTTATCAAGGAGTGAAAAGCTCTGAGAGAGAGTATTTCATTTTTCTCCATACCTCTCTGTGACTAGAAAGGTCAAATTTACACACAGCCTTCTCTTGCCCTACTTTATGTATAAAATCTAGAGAATATCCAGGACAGCCATCATTAATCAAAGTTGATTATGAATCAAAGCTTTCAGAAACCACAATTTCTTTTTTTAAAAATCGGGCTGTCATCCCTAGCATGCATATGGTGTCTTTATATCACATCAGCATCAGTTGTTTCTAATCAATGTCCACAGTTCATTACTTCCTTGTTTTTAATCTGATGTCCTTTCTCTGTCCCAAGGACCTGCAAGAGTTTAATATTCCTTTTGTCATGGTGTCTCCTTAGGGTAGTCTTGGTTGTGACCATTTCTCACGTTCCTCATTTTTGATGACTTCTGTTCTTCTGAGGAATATTTTGTAAGATGTCTCTATGCAAATTTTTCTGGTATTGTTCTGATGATAGACTTGAATTCTGGTTTAAAAGGGTCATGGAGGTGTTCTCATCATATATTTGAGTTCATAGGACTTACCGCTGTTGACATGAATCTTGATCACTCAGCAGAAATCCTGTTTTGGGTTTCTACACTACAAAGTTCTTCTTCTTCCTACTTCCTGTTCTGTAGCTTTTGGAGGAAATTACTATGTACAATCCACCCATAAGGGGTGGGAACTATGCTCTACCTTCCTGAGGGCAAAGTATCTCCACAAATGGTTTGGAATTCTTTGGCACTGGAGATTTGTCTGCTCTACCCCATTTATTCATTTGTTTGGATCAGTTTGGACTTTGGGACCCTTTACGTTGAGTTATAATCTAATACTACTTTATTTTGCTGTTCAAGTTGTTCCAGTTTTAATCACTGGGAGCTCCTTTGATTGACCTCTATGTCCCTTTGACCTTCCAGCTTTTTTAAGTACTTCTGGCTTTCTTGGTACTACAAGATGCTCTAAGCTCACCTCATGTTTCCTTCCACTGTCCTAGAATCCACCATTCTTTTTTTTTTTTTAAGACTTATTTATTCGTACAGAACTGGGGTACAGACCAGAGATGCGGAGGGTGAGAGGATTCACCAGAGACAGAGCATGGAGCAGAACAGGCAGATCGACGAAGTACACTGCTGAGGGGAGCAGCGGGCGGGCCAGGAGAGGTCTGCCACGCCATGTGGTCACCTCCAGGGCAGGCAGGAAGTGGCTTAAGCTTCTTTGTGCTGTGCTTTAACCCACTGCGCCACCAGGGAGGGCCAAATCCACCATTTCTTTAAGGAGATCTGGTTAACATTTTTGGAGAAAGGTATTAAAAACCAAGATCTGGGCACTAGATTACTTTGAATGCTTTAACTACCCCCCTCCACTCCCCATTTCTAGCCACCAGCCATGGAACACATGAGAGATTCCTAAAGTTCATGACATCATGGGCTGACATAATTCTTAGACCTTTAAGAAGACATATTTGTGCAGTTCTCAGTGTAGACATGAAAGCTAAGGGAAACCTATGAACATGAAAATCAAATGGTATTGTTTAACCAAAGAGCCCCTCATGACAAAGTTTTGTTTTGGGTGGGGGTCTCTGGTCCATAGGGAATTCCTTGGGGGAAGTGTATTCTTTATAATTAGGAAACACTTTCACTGGAGTACAGAGGAGACCTATGGACGTTTAGATTCCCATCTGTTTAAACAACAGCTGATAAATGTCTCTGTGTAAGCCAGTTGTGTTCCCTAGTGCATTTTTACAGAGATCCACATATGCTGACCAGTGTTCTCATCAACAGTGAGACAGGGTTAGAGATATTAAAAAGTTGCAAGGTGATATGGTAAGGGAAGCATAAGAGATAAGATATCCTCATAGATTGTCTTATTGGTTGGCAACAAGAAGATGAAATGTTAACAGTATGAAAGTGAAGTCTTGTGATTGGATTTTAAAAATCCATTGTTTAAATACAGAGTGGGAGTAAGAACTTGGCACCGGCTCATGTGAAAAATATCTGTGGATTTTTGTTGCATGCTTCAAGTGAACCAGCTGTGCGTCTGGGCAGCCAAAAAGGTGATATCCATTCAGCCAGAGCAGAGGGAGTGCCATTGCAAATTCAGCCATGTCCTCAGGGCTGCTCAGATGACTTCAGGATATCAAGGTCATTTCTGAGCACAACAATTAAATACAAACTAACCTGTATCCAACAGATAATGGACAGAACTATGCTTTTCTGTGGTGAAGACAAAAGAATGAGGTAGGAGTGGCCAACTTAAAGAAGGGAAGCAAATTGAGTTGGGATAGCTGTCACTAGCTGGGGCAAGGACTGGGGAGAAAGGGAAGCTACCTGTCGTCTTCATGCTATAAAAGGACAGTGGAAACAAGTTACAAGGAGCAGCATCAAAGTAAGAAAGTACCACCCAACCATCAAGGACAAAAAGCAACGTGATAGGCGTCAGGAGTGACAGGCTCCCTACAAGTTCCTACCTTTAAACAGACACTGAGAACGCCAAAGCTTGTAGAAGTTCTGTAGAGCCATCTCTTCATGAACCTAGCTCTTTCGTCACTAGGAAGTTGTTGTTTAAGCAGAGTTTGTTGAGTATAACCTACAACCACAACAATACTGGTTTGCTTTAAAATTTTCTTCTGTTAATTTTCCAACCTCCCTGGTTTTCAGAAAAGCTGGTCAAGAATCTAGTTGGTATGGTACAGAAAAGCTACCCCCGAACAGTAAAAAACTGTCATTAAAAGATAAACCCTCAAAAAAAAAAAGTTCTATTGAACAAAACACAATTGTGCTCAATTGGATAAAATACCATCATGCATTCCATAGAGAACATATTATTGTCAAATTAATTGATGAATGCTAGTCCGGTCTTTGGCCTCTCTGTTATAGACGAACTCCCATAACTGTGGAGGAAAAGAATGTGGCCCATTCCATAATAATTGTTTTGTTTTCATTTATATCTGTGTGTGTTTCCCAGTTTGGGGCCACCTGTCTCTGAACAGCTGGGAGCAGGCGGTATATTCAAGAGCCTTCACCCAAAACACATCAACTCCGGATCCCTAGTATTGCAGGGGTGGGCGCTGGCCGTGGGAACAGCCTTCTCTGTCTTCACACAGCTGTACATTCTAAATCACTGAATGGAAAACTATTTTGTATTAACATGCGTTCTTTTATCAGATCATAAATCTTGTCAGTTTCTCACCCTGACTGTTCTCACAGCTTACAGGCCAGTGTCCATGTAAGTCAGGCTACGGAGGAAGACGCTGCAGTGAGTGCAAGGAGAGTTATTTCAGCTCGCCGCCCGGCCAGTGTGTGCGTAAGTGTTAGTAACTGACGTGGGAGCACAGTTAGCACGGCCTGACCAGGGGTGCTGTGGACCAATCGGACCTTAAACGCCTTTATTTTACTTGGTTGTTACTTTTTTTTTTTTTTTTAAATTCATTTATTTGTGCATACAGAACTGGGGTACAGGCCAGAGGCTCATGGGCGGCAAGAGGCTTCACCAGAGACACATTGGGGAGCAGAACAGACAGATTGATGAAGTACACTGCTGAGGGGAGCAGCGGGCGGGTCAGGAGAGGTCTGCCGTGCCATATGGTCACCTCCAGGGCAAGCAGGAATTGAACTCATGAGGAAGTGGCATAAGCTTCTTAGTGCTGTGCTTTAACCCACTGCACCACCAGGGAGGGCCATACTTGGTTGTTACTTTTAACAATGTGGACTTAATTAGAAAATTCAGCCACTCTAGTTTTGAAAAGAATAGGTTTATCACCTTATTCAAAATTTTTGTTCTATATAAAAACTTTGGGCTTTATTAAATGTTCGATAAAAATCAATAAAATTGGTAGCTTATGTCAAAATTCCTTAATCATTACAATGTAATGTAATGCACCTCTGAGGTTATGACGTATAGCCATGATCCTCACTTAGGTGAAGACCCTACCTGTAAACTCAAATGATAAAAATGACATCTGGGCCCTCCCTGGTGGCGCAGTGGGTTAAAGCACAGCACTAAGAAGCTAAAGCCGCTTCCGCATGAGTTCGATTCCCGCCTGCCCCAGAGGTGACCACATGGCGTGGCAGACCTCTCCTGACCCGCCCGCTGCTCCCCTCAGCAGTGTACTTTGTCGATCTGCCTGTTCTGCCCCCACTCTGTCTCTGGTGAATCCTCTCACCCTCCGCATCTCTGGCCTGTACCCCAGTTCTATATGAATAAATAAATAAAATCTTTTAAAAATTAAAAAAAAGAGAGGCCGTCTTGAATGGGTGCCTCATCATCAAAGCTTTAAAAAAAAAAAAAATGACATCTGACACCCCTATAGAAACCACAGACTGATTTGTTGGAAGGAAAAGAGGAATGCTATATTTTAATGGTCATTGCATTGCGCAGATCTCTGAAATTATACTGATGTTAAATGTTTGTTCTTAGATGTGGCACGCACACACACACAAACATATACAAAGTAGAGTGCTACTCCGCTATTTTATAAAAGTGAACTCTTGGGCCTCGCTGGTGGCGCACAGGTTACAATCTCAATATTGTTAAGTTATCTATCACTAGCCACTGCTTCATGAGTTCAAATCCCAGCCAGGGAGGTGACCCACACGTTGCAGCAGATCTCTCTTGTCTTCCCTGCTGCTCCCTTCAGCAGTATACCTCCGTAGAACCATCTGTTCTGCTCCCCATTCTGTGTCAGGTAAGTCCTCTTATGCCCTGCACCTCTGACCTGCACTCCAGTTCTTGTATGCATAAATAAATAAAAATAAATTTTTAAAAAAATGAACAACAACATGGAGCTGGAGGGAATTATGCTAAGCACAGTGAACCAGAAGAAGAAAGACAAATGACCTTGAACAGTTTTGCCCATACTTGGAATACAGATAAACAAAACAAAGAGTTAGGAAAGCCAAACCAGAAACAAACCCCAGAGATCTTGACTGTCTAACTGAAGCTCTCCACTGAAGGGTGGGAAGTTAAGAGAGGGAGGGGCTTGATGGACTGTTTGTTCATCAGGAGGAGATGGTGCTTGAGGGGTGGGGGAGGGGTGGTGACATTTGAAGGGGGGGTCCTGCCTCTCTGACTTGTATGCAGTGAAGTAAACCAGTAGACCCTTAATAAAAAATTGTCACCATCAATCAATTAAAATCACTATACCATTTAAAAAATGTTCATCTTAGAAGTGAGAGATTTTCAGCAGAGAAGACTTTATCCTTGAGCGAGTTGTGAGCAAGACCCAGGTGACTGCTGTTCTCTGCTCCTTCTCTCTTCCTCTTCAGCATGTGACTGCAGCAGGGAAGGTACCCAGACGCCCAGCTGCGACCAGGACACCGGCATGTGCCGCTGCCGTGCGGGCATCAGTGGCGCACGCTGTGACCGCTGCGCCCGGGGTCATGGACAGCAGTTCCCTGCTTGTCCTCGGTGTCACTTGTGCTTTGATCAGTGGGACCACACGGTTTCCTCCCTCTCCGAAGCGGTGCAAGGGTTAATGAGGCTGGCTGCGAACATGGAAGATGAAAGCGAGACCCTGCCTGTCTGTGAGGCCAACTTCAAAGGCCTCAGAGAGAACATGTCTGAAATAGAAAGGATTCTGAAACATCCTGTTTTCTCATCTGGGGAATTCTTAAAAGTCAAGGATTATCAGGACTCTGTTCGGTAAGATTTGTGCTTAAGTAATAGATAGTTAAGATCCTAGCTTACCTTAACTCCTACTGACCTTTAACAGCCTTCCTTTTAGAAATGTACCCTCATGAATATTAGGAAAATGAGCATTATTCAGTTAATCATCAGGCAGATAATCCTTTTTGTGTGTCTCTGTCTTAGTTAGGATTCCAAGTGACTTTTTCAAATGGCCCTATTATTACAAAAAAGTGATCATCAGGTGGTTAATTGGGAAGTTCAAACCCAGCTAAAATATTGGAAGCATTCCAGTAGTTACTACTACAAGTAATATATATGTTTTCAACTACGCACTCATGGAAAATTTGCAGTCTTTCCAAACTCTTCCATTGTTTATAAGCCCATACATTTAGTGTGAAGTCTTAAAACAAGTACAATTCCTTCAAAATGCAATGTAATTTTTAGTATGTATTATCAAATCCTTTTTTATTTCTAGAGTTTCTGTAGGTTGCTCCACATCAGCCATCAGCAAATTCACAGCCCACAGGTGAAATCTGACACACCACCTGTTTCTGTAAACAAAGTCTTCCTGGAACAAGGCCAGGCCTGTTTATTCTCATACCCTCTGTGACTGCTTTCCCTCTAGAAAGGCGGGTTGAGTAGTTGGGACAGAGACTCTGGCTCTGACTTACCTGCCTGGCCTTTTACAGAACAAGAGCACCAGCTACTCTGACTCAGCTTTGTGCCTACTGCCCTGTAACAGCCTTCCAGAGAGCAGTGCAGCCAGGCCCACTCCTGAGCAATAATAACTACTCCATTGTTAAGCAGGACTGGCCACTAACTATGAAAAACTGGAATAAGTCATGTATAATTTTCATCCTCCTTGGTGTACCCAGTCTACTATGAAACCAAAGAGATTGTGGTGATGTAGCCAATTGTAATCCTATCTCCGATAAAAAGATCCTGCTAAGGAAGAGTTGAAGAGTTGGGTTTTTTTTTGTTATACATAACACAAGTGTAAATATAAGTAATTCATTATCAATAAGCCAATACGCCAGAAGTAGGCAGTAATTGCTTCAAAGTTACACAAGGGAGAAGGTGCAGGCTGCCTGCGTGGTGCAGCGTCAGAGCCAGCGCATCACAACAGCTCAGGGCCCAGGTGGTCATGTGGCCAAGGCCAGCCGGAAGGCAAGAACAGGCACAGGCGCCCTGGCTGAGTCTGGTGCTCTGAGGTTTGGGGCCCTGTGTTTCCAGATCTCTCCACATTTCAAGAGATGGGAGATATCCAGGTTTTTGGAAATGTTCCCCACTTTCCAGTGTAAGCAGCTAACCCAGTAGTGCTTTCAAACAGCACTGTTAGGCCAAAGAAAACATGTCTGGACATGAGTTTTGGACCACAGGCCTCTGGACTGTGGTTGTAGAAAATGGTAGGTAATGGAAGCAAAATGAGCCCACAGTGGATGTTGTGGACAAAGCTACTGCAAGAAGCTCAAGCAGAGTCAGAGATTAAAGAGCAAGAGATGAGGACTCCTAGGTCAGAACTAAAGTGATGAGGAAAGTTGGGGCTACTGAGTTTTCTTCAAACAGAAGCCAAAGTGCCCTGACCCTCCTCACCCCTCCCAACCCTACCTGGTGGACTACTGTTTCTCTGTTACAGCAGCCACACACACCCTCTCTCTGAAGCCTTCTCTGAACTCCTCAGAGAAAGGCAGGTGTTACCTTCTCCATCTGCCCACCTCTTCCTGGTTTGTTGCCCACACCTCACTGCAGGACTTTAGGGCAGAGATGTCTCTACAGTGCTTTGATTCTCCAGGCCCTGAATGGCTAGATAATAAACATCTGCTGGGTAGATTACAAGTCAAAGGGGAGGAAGAAAACAAAGAACCCAGGATGTGATGAGCATAGATGCAAAGTCAGGCCACCTTGGTTCAAATCTACTTATGACTGTATGGCCTTGGGAAAGTCATTAAACTTCCCCATGCTTCAATTTTTTCATCATACAAGGTGATCTTTGTGTCATAGGATTCTTGTGAGAATTACTTGAGACAGTTACTTAGCATCATGCCTGAAACATAGTGCTCAAAGAGTAACAATTATAATAACAGTAATTACTATTATTATTATTTTTATTATTATTAGCCTGAAGAATTATAGCCCTGACAGCTGAGTCCTGCAGCAAAAGTCTACATTAGAAGAGAAAGTTAGAGCAGAAAATGTTAGCAAACATTGGTGAACGCTTTGCATTCGTGCCAAGATAAATTAGTCCCATAAATTCACATTGTAATTTCCCTCAACTGTACTCTTCAAGCTTTCCACCCAATTTCCCCATCAGGAGGGATATACTAATTACTCGCTTGAATTCACCGGGTGTGCTAAACCCAGCAAATTGAAGCAGAACAAAAGGCTGCCCCATCAAAGAAGTAGGTGGTGGAGAATGAATGCCCCATGGAGTACACTCACCAGTAAGGAACCTCTTCGTCACTTTTGGAAATTGAAAGTGAAGACCCTGCACAGCAGTGGCACTAAAAGCATCTTACCAGAAGCAGATTTCTTCTAAAGAAAAAACTGATTTGTACCTTCCTTCTGTGTTGAAAACCCTTTGTAAGCCAAGTGTCTCATGCTGATTTAAATGAACCGTGCCTGAGTACATATTTTTGAACACCCAAAGCAGAGGGAGACAGAGAAAGTACAAACAGGTGAAACAGAAAATCTTCATTCTACTAGACTTTGCTTACTGATCATATTTGAAGGAAGCACAAAATATTCCAGGAAACTGAGTGAATGAGAAAAAGATAAGACAAAGAAAATTATAAACTTGTCAAGTGAAAACTGGGAAACAGGACACAGTTCTAATATTTAGGAAATGTAATAATAAGTGTGACAAAGCGAGTGTGTGTGTTTGCAGCAGTCCAATGTAATACAAACTAGACTACATTATTCTACTTTCCCCCACAGGAAACAAGTTCTGCAGCTAAATGAGCAACTGAAAACAGTGGATGAGTTTCAAAATCTAACCAAGACAATAGTACAAATGAGCAAGACAGCGAACCTCTTAGCTGAAAGTCTTCAGGAAGAAATTGATCTGCACTCCCGTAATACAGCTCATAATACAAGCATCATGGGTAAGAGAGAAAATGCACTTCAGTTTTGTTTCTGAGCAAAGACTGCTGAAATGCACAGGGCATTCCATGAGTGAGCCATCCCGTGCTAACCTGAGCACCAGAGTACTTTGAACATGAACACGCTCCCACTCAAGGTGTTGTTTGTATGTGAATATTTCAGCTTTTAGGCATAAAAGAACCTGAATGGCATTTACTCAAAAGGATAAGTAAAGTAAACAATCTCTGATACAAATTAAATCCTAAAGGCAAAACAATCCTCTAATTCTAAACCACGCCAGGGAACAACAACTTAGAAATTCTAATAGGACCTTAAGGAAATGAGGTACGTTTCTGAGTATGAGCCACTCTTTCTAGCAACCATGAGTGGAAAGGAGTGTGCGACACGTTCCTTGGGCTTGAACACATTTCTCATAACAACTTGGTAGGGATTGGAGTCATGTAACATGGTAGAAGCCTTTAATTCATATTGTATGATTCCTAGAAACACATGGGAGCCATGTCCTACTTCCCAAATTTCATTCAAAGCCAAGGTCAGCGTGGCAGAGAAATGGCACATGAAGGCAAAGTTTCAGTTAGCTCATCTCCTGATCATGGAGGTGCCTTGTACCTTTGGAAACAGACTACTTGTTACTGTCAGGAGAGACAGCAAGGGAGAAGATGGGGGACGCAAATGAAATCCACTTCAAGATTAAGCATTGTCTGCTTTTCCTTAGCCTTGTATACTTCAAGCTTTTATCTAATCTGGACCTAAAAGGGAAAAAAAGTTGGCTCTACTGGAACACCAAAATTTAGTAAAATAACTTGATGATACACAACGCATCTATGTAAAATTTGGGGATTTACTCTGAGTCTTAATCTGGAAGAAGGCACCCCCAGAAAAAAAACTAAAAGTCCATTAGGGGTCACTGAAATCAGTAGAAGAATGTAAAACTGGCCCACACGGGCCCTCCCTGGTGGCGCAACATGTTAAAGCACAGTACTATGACACTAGAAGCAGCCACTTCATGAGTTTGATCCCCAGCCAGGGAGGTGACCCGCATGGTGCGGCAGACCTCTCCTGACCTGCCCGCTCAGCAGTGTACTTCATCGATCTGCCTGTTCTGATCCCCACTCTGTGTCTGCTGAAGCCTCTCACCACCCCTGTACCTCTGGTCTATACCCCAGTTCTGTGTGCATAAATAAATAAATCTTTAAAAAACAAAAATAAAAAAACTGGCTCACACTCGTCCTCAACCTCTGTAGTGCCCCAGTAGGGGCCAGGCGTTTCCTCGTGGTCTGACGTGGTATTGGGTGCTGGAAGGGGAGGACCATAGCAATTCCTTGACTCTCATTATGCCAGTCCAGTGTGGGAGACAGGCTGACCCCAACCCTCAAGCAGGAGACAGACTGTTAGAGCATCTTCAAGCTGCGTCAGGGACTAGAGAAACAAGAAAAGCAGTTTTAGGCTGAGAGGTGCAGGTGATGATTGAATTGGGCTTCACAGGATCCAAGCACTAGGAATGTGTGCATGTGTGTTTCTACAATAAATGAAAACCATGATGTATCAAGAGTATATTAGTAAAAGAACCAGGAAGGTGTAATAGATACGGTGTGTTTGTCTCATCCCTGGATTATGGTTAAAAATATCAGGATCCTTGGCCTCTCGTCCCCAGCATGTGGAGTTACAGTGTAAAGCCTTGGCATGCTATCAATGACATTAAAATGACATTATTTTATGAATTTATATTTTAATTAAAATATGGAAAGTACAGGCTCTACAGTCAAACTACTGGGGTTCAGTGATCTACGGCATCAAGCCTCACTGACAGGTAGGTAAATGAGGGTGATCACACGAGTGTGCACCTCACAACATTTGTGCAGATTAAGGAAGGAACAGATGGAGCACACAAGCACCCAGAAAACAGGATGTCAGCCTTGTCCTCAGCCTCAAATCAGGTGCAGGCACACTGTATCACCACAGTGTTCTTGCAAAAAATTCTCACCTATTTATGCCTGTGTGTGTGCTCCTTGGAGTGCTTTCACTCAGCAGTGGCTTCATTGACTGCTGTGATAGAAATGCTAAGGCCCACAAAACCATTTATTCTCAGGCTTTCTGCAGAAATGCTGTAACTTCCCGGTTAGCTGATTTGCTTGATTTATCCTATCAGGGTCCTTATAAGTAGCCACAATGTGCATCTTCTGGGGTGGGGGGGGGGGGAGGATATTTTACTGAGTGCTTTTCGTATGATCTCTCTTAATCCTCACACATTAGCAATTTATAGATTAATTGATTTGCTCAAGGTGGTACCCAGACAGCAAGGGCTTACCTCTCAGTACTCTCTTTTCTCACATTACATCTGCTTCTTCCCCATTAACTGCAAATTCAAAGAAGAGGGCATTAAAGTTTTGTATTAACCATTGAAATTAAGAGAGTAGTCAAAGAATCAAACTACCTTGATTGGCGATGCATTATTTGTTTTCCTAAAATTTATCTTCTCTCAATTTGTGTTGATACAGATTTCATAAAGAAGATCAGGAATTATCATCAGAGATCATCTTCTACTGAAAAAGAAACAAATGATACCATTTCCATCATAAATAACTCTCAAAAAATAAGGAATGACTTAATTACCATCTTTGACACACTCTCCTCAAAAGGAAACTTGTCATTGGAAAAGCTGAAGCAGATTAAGATTCCAGATACCCAAATATTGCACGAAAAGGTGAATAAGCTTGCTGGGATAGGGCCTGCGGCTCCCCGCTGCCTGCAGGCCTCCTCACCTGTCTTCCTTCTCTCTTGTGGCATTTCTTTTGGATTATATGTAGTACAGAAGGCACATAAAATATAAATGCATGTAATACCTGTAAGGTACAGAGAACAGAAATTTCTCTATCTTTAGTTTGTAAGTTAAAGTTTGATAGAAATCAAAAAAGTAAAAATTAGGACTTGTTTTGCTATTTGATATTACCTCCTGTTTCCAAAATAGTATAGTTTGTGGACATTTGCTCCCCCACCTCACTCTAGGGAAGAACTAATCTTGATTTTTAAAATAGTGGTATAACATGGAAACTCTGCATGTGAGTGTTTTTTCCAAAAACTATAAATATAAAAATGGCCTTGGTTGGCACACCACTGATAACTAATAGTTATCAACTACTAGAAACCCAGAGGGTTTCTAGTTACCTGGCATGGGTCACCCGCGTGTACTAGCACAAACAGCCACTAGGACACACGTGTGTGTGGTGCACTGAGCTGTGCCTCCTGAGTCAGGCAAAGTAGGGAAAATTCTGCAACAAGCTGCTTTTTCAGATCAGTCTTTTCTCCTGTAAGGTGTGCAGAGGAGGAGTGGACACACCGTGTGTGCTCCCGTCCTGCCGAGGCCGGGGCTGCCTGGGCTCCCTGGTCCTTTCCAGAAAAGCCCTCCAGAAAGCAAAGGAAACAGAAGCCTTGGTTCATAACTTCAAACATCATGCTCAAGGGTTAAAGAATCAGGTAAATATCTTCTCTTGCTTTACTTGTAAAGTTGTTGGAAATCTTAAGCATTGCCATGTAAGGGCCTCCCTGGTAGCACAAGGGCTTAAGTCTCAGTGCTATCAAGCCATCACCACCACTTCGGCGTTCGGTTCAATTCCTAGCCATGGAGCTGATCCACAGGGCGCAGCACACCTCTCCTGACCCTCCCGCTGTTTCCCTCAGCAGTGTGTCTCAGTCAGCTGCTCCCCACTCTGTCTCTGGTGAATCCTCTCTGCACTGCACTTCTTGCCTCCACCCCAGTTCTTGTATGCATAAATAAATAAAAATATTTTTTTTAAAAAAAGAAATTGCCAAAGCAAATGGATAGATTCTAGATATTGGGTGTTCTTATGCACAAAAATACAAGTTGAAAGTATAGATATGGATATTAATGTAGATTTAGGATAAATGTGGACAATGATGTATTTTCTGTTATGCTTTACATCTAATGCAGTGAGTGCATATAAGAGAAGAGAGAAAGATCTCAAAATAGGGCCCTCCCTGGTGGCCAACAGGTTAAAGCGCAGCACTGCAAGTTGGCCACAGCGGCCACAGCCGCTTCAGTGCGAGTTCTATCACCAGCCCGGAGGTGACCCACATGGGGCGGCAGACCTCTCCTGACCTGCCCGCTGCTTCCCTAAGCAGTGTACTTCTTTGATCTGCTGTTCTCTCTGTCTCTGGTGAATCCTTTCACCACCCCTGCACCTCTGGCCTGTATCCCAGTTCTGTATGCATAAATAAATAAATCTTAAAAAAATAAAAATAAAGAAACAAGATCGCAAAATGCCTGTTTGTAGGTCATAGACTTGTATGGACATGTTTCACTTACAGCTAGCACTACACAGAAATGTGAAAACTATAGATCTTACAAAGTAATGAATAGTTTTTCATAAATTCTAGGGTCTATATGGAATTCTACTAAGTATATAAATTTTAATGTCAGGATTTAATTTTAGAAGCTATTGTAATGGTAATACACCTTTATGTCTTGAATTCCTTCCTAAGTTGATAGATGTAACAAGGTAGTTATAATATTTAAGCACCTGATGACAAAATCTGTAATTGTTTAAAATTATTTCATTTATAACTCTAGTCATATTGATAAAAAATATATAATATTTAATCACATCATTTTCTGTAGGGTTTTTGGTGAAAGCATCGTATCACCTTGAAAATAGATGGTAATATGCTCCCTAGTTTGTTCCTTGTTTGATGAAATGCATAGGGCTTTTCTTTGAAGAAGAAAAGCTTTTAAAGATTTGGGTGTTGTTGGATTTTTTTAAAGATTTTATTTATTTATGTATACAGAACTTGGGTACAAGTCAGAGGTTCAGGAGCAGTGAGAGGCTTCACCAGAGACAGAGTAGACAGGGGAGCAGAACAGGCAGATCCATGAACTACACTGCTGAGGAGAGCAGCGGGCAGGTCAGGAGAGGTCTGCCGCCCCATGTGGGTCACTTCCGAGGCTGGGGATCAAACTCACACTGAATCAGCTGTGGCTTGCTAACCCACTGAGCCACCAGGGAGGGCCTTTTTTTTTTTTTTTTAAAGATTTATTTATTTGTGCATACAGAACTGGGGTACAGGCCAGAGGCTCAGGGGCGGCGAGAGGCTTCACCAGAGACAAAGCGGGGAACAGAACAGGCAGATTGACGAAGTACACTGCTGAGGGGAGCAGCGGGCGGGTCAGGAGAGGTCTGCCACGCCATGTGGTCACCTCCGGGGCAGGCGGGAATCGAACTCATGCGGAAGCGGCTTTAGATTCTCAGTGCTGTGCTTTAACCCGCTGCGCCACCAGGGAGGGCCCGGGCCTTTTTTTTTTTTAAGCCAATGTAAATTAAATGTTGTATCACTCAGCATCTCTGTTTACAAGCACCAGAGACCAACTCCTGAGCAAAGAGAAACATATGCAAAGAATTTGGGTCTCAGAATGGAGCTAAGTAGGCAGACTTGGGCAGAAGTGAGAGCCTCGGCTGTGCCCACACAGCCACACACAGACACCCAGCAGCAGGCTGATCCCTAAGTCCCACCTCCTTGGTTCTGACCCCACCAACACTCCTGTGTCCTTGTTCCTGTGTTCCAGAAGAATCCAAGTTCTGCGGTTAACCTCTGATTAGCAAAGCTGGAGAATACTTTTCCTATACATACAAATCATTGAAAATTTTTATGTAAATAGTCACAATTCCATACTGCTACATAGGGCTTTTTTTTTTTTTATCCCCGTGTAACTATTCTCTGCTTTAACAAAATTTCACTGAGTACCAATTGTGTGCCAGACATTAATCTAACTGTTTGACCAACAACAATGAATAAAACAAATGCAAATCCTAGTCTTTCATCTCAGTGGTTAACATACTTTTTAATTCTTTAATGTAATTTTAAACTATTAAATTGCCTTTCCCCCACCAAGAAAAATCTTATACCACTTTAATAAGCATTATGTTAAGCTCTTACTTTCAAAAAATAACCCTTGAAGTAGAATCTGATTTAATCAGCTCATAAATGGAGAACTGGTAAAGGATGAGGGGCAGAATGTGATGCGAATAAAGTGGTGTGCTATGTGCCTCTTGATTAGAAGGAGGGAGAGTGCCAGAGAGATTGGGAGAGAAGTTTCAGGAGTCCATTGTGACAGCAGATGGATTACAGAGAGATATTTTAAGAGTGAAGTAATTTAGCAATCTCTTTCTCACCAAATACAGCATCAACTAACCTATGCTGGCATTTCATTTGTGTCTTTTGGTGCTTTCCGGTCTCAAGGATTTATTTCTGAATTTCTCATTTAATTGCCATGCATTTCTTACTACTACTACTACCCATTTTATTTTTTTATTGGAATATAATTGACATGTAGCAATGTGTTCATTTTAGGTGTGCAGCATAATGTTACCTATGTATATACGTCATGCATATATATTGCAAAATTGTGGATTACCACAATCCACTCATTAAAGGTCCATCACTATGGTCCATTTTTCCCCCCTGTAATGAAAACTTTTCAGTTCTCCTGCCTTAGCAATTGCTATCCATTTGAAAGTTTAAAAAGTTCTAGAGAATTATGAAACAACTCTGAAAAATTAATATACATGTTTGAATCAAGTAAATATTTCCTTTTGTTTCATTTGTCAATGACAACAGTTAAATCCTTCCCCACAAAATCTATATACCTCAAATTCAGTAGCTTTCCTTTAGAAAGAAAAGATTCCCCCCAACCAATTATGTTTGCTCCTAATTAGCCCTATTTCTGTCACAATTAATTTATTTAATACTATTTAGTGTGAGAGTGACATTGTCCTGTGTTCTGTTTTTCTCTTTCTCTAATTTGTTGAAATCCTAAGGAAAAGCCATGGCTTTTCACAAGTCACACAATTAAGAACTTGCTTTTCTAGGCTGCAAGCCTCTCAGTCCTATCATTCCTGCACCACGAGTACAATGTGCTTGGAATTTATCTGTGCTGCCTGCTTGCAGCTCAAGCCCATTTATTAAAAAGAAGAATGCTTTTTTTTTTCAGTTTCAAAAAGTACATTACTTGAATGTGAGGAATGTTTAGAAGAGTAACTATTTTAATTTGTATAAAAGAAAATGTTCTCATCCTACTAAACATGCCCACCACTAGCAGTAAGAGTCTTAAGTAATTTCTGTGAAGTGGGGGCTTAATAGAGCACTAACATTACATTAAAAATTATGTTGTAGATTTGTCTCTGGAAACCTACAATGTTATTTTCAAACAAAAATTTTAATCGCTCATCATGTTTTAAAAGATAAATTCAAGGTATTATAAATGCACAATAATGAAACAAATAATCATCTTTTAAGACTCCTTTAAGTCTTGTTTAGTTATCTAGACCTCTGTTTTGAGACAGCCTTATTTGGCCATGCTATGTTATTAAATATCACAGAATGTGCCTAATTGTTGTCTGTTTTCCTTGTTTCTTTCTTATTCTAGGTCAAAAATATAAGTAAACTGGCAGAAGTCTCCAAAAATAATGCCTTTCAACTAAGGGAGAAACTGAAGAACATGAAAAATCAAAGCACATCTCAAGAAGAAAATATGAATCTTTTAATCAAAAAAATAAAAAAGTTTTTGTTAGGTAATTTTCTTTAAGATCAAATCTAGTTTTCTTCCCCTTTAAATGTATAATCAAATATCATAACCGATTCCACATGGTACTAATTGAAAATGGCATGCCTAAGCCAGAAGCATGGCAGACCCCTTGACTTAAGATTTCTTAATGACAATAATCCCCAACTATGAACTCTGTAGCAAATATATATATATATATGACTATTATGTAAGATTAATTTAGTGATAAATGTTAAAATTTACTTAAAATTCCAAATAATCCAGTGTACGAGTCCATCAAAACTTAACTAACAACAAATTCCAGAAATCTGAGTGTAGAATTGAGGAGAGTAAGGTGTGGAGGGAGCCCAAAAACACCCAGAAAGAAAAGTATTCCCTTTACATTCAAAATAGCTAAAGCAAAAGTGATTTTGTCATGTCACTCAGATGCCAAAATTGTTCTGGGGCTCCCACTGCCTCCTGAGCAAAGCCCAATTTCCTCAGGGGAAACCCGTAGGGGGTTGTGTGGTCCTCTCCCAGCCTTTCTGGATGAAGCTGGCTCCACCCAACACCTCTCTCCCACCAAACGTGAGCCCTGAGCTGTTTCTTATTTCACCAGGAGCCCTTGCTTCAGCGGTTCCCTCAGCTGAGAACACCTAATACCTCTCCTTTCCTCCCACAGCTCCACAGTCTCTGCTAGCCTCCAAAGCCCAGTTGGCATGCTTTTGTAAAAGATTTTCCTAAAATATTTTCTCCCCCCTCTAAATACCTTATTTTGTCTTATATTTGTCCTTTCTGTTCTTACACAAATTATTCATCTGGAGTGACTTAAATTTTTCCTCCTGGACGTAAAACCCATGAAGATCAGCTCTGTTGTCTAATTCAATTCTGACTTCTCCCCTAGGACATTGTTTTCCCCAAATGTCAACAATGGACCTTCCACTTTTGTCCTCAAGGAGGCCCATTTTCTTTTTCTGAGTTTTGGAGCATAGATGTATTTTAAAGGGTCTTTGGAACAGTTGTGTAGGTCTTAGCCCTGCCTTGTCACATTCCCTTCTCTAAAAAGATCTTTAAGTGCTCTTACCAGGTATAGTCACCCGATATATAGATGAGCACAGTGAACCTTTTTTAATGTCGCGGAGCTTTAGTATCAGGTTTTTTTGGGGGGTCAAACCCACTGCTTCCTCATTGTTTCAGTCATGTGTTGTCTTTGTTACTATAATGTTAGTTGTCTAATAGTTCATTTAATTATCTACATTTACTATAGTGAGGAAAACATTTTATTGTGTACATTGTCTTAGTGATGGACCGTTAACAATTGTAACTACTCTTTGAATTTATTTTATAATAAGTAGTTCTTGGGAGCCTATTTGATAGAACATCCACAGTATTCCAATCGGTGGCTTCTCATTTTTCCAACAAGCACTTGTGTAGCATTTGTTCAGCATGACACAAGCAGTATTTCTTTCAAAGAGAAGAAAAAAGTTGAGCATGAAGCACGGTCTAGACATCCATAATGCAATTCCTGTATTCTAGGGACCCATAATCAAATGCAAGAGCATTTGACTTAGAATTTATTGTGCTTATGTGTACAAGATAGTGTGTTTGATAGAGACACAATTATCTGAGACCCATTTTCTTATTTAAGAGGAAAACGTGCCTCCAGAGGACATAGAGAAGGTTGCAAATCGTGTACTGGACATCCACCTACCAATAACATCACAAAATCTAACCCATGAACTTGACAAAATATGGAAACTTACACAACTCTGTGAGGACTACAGGACAGATGAGAGCAAGCTAAATAAAGCAGCAGGTGAAGCCCAAAAGCTTTTGATGGTGGCAAAAGTAGCTGAGTAAGTATGGTGTTAATAGTCTTGTCACTCTAAAAGACCAAAAAGGTCATCTGAAAAATAGTGATCTAAGGTCCACATGAAATCACCCTCCAATAGTTCAGTGGCTAACTGAGGGCTAATCTTGCGCTGAGAAGCAAGAAACTTGGGAGGCATTGCAGGGACACTGGCATTGGCATCCCAGTTTTCTTCCGATTCAGAATGCCTTCCAGGGGCTGCTTACTCTTACTAATCTATACCAGCAAATGTCATAAACTAACTAGGTAGTGGAGATATTGATTTATTTTTCCCTTTGTACTGTTTTTAGTAATTTCTAAATTTACCATAATAAACAAAACTAAAAAACAAAGACTACACAGGGCCCTTTCTGGTGGTGCAATTGGTTAGGACACAGCACTGAAGCCACTTCAGTGTGAGTTAGAAACCCTGCCCCGAGGTGATCCACATGGTGCGGCAGACCCCTCCTGACCCACCCGCTGCTCCCCTCAGCAGTGTACTTCCTCAATCTGCCTGTTCTGCTCCCCACTTTGTCTCTGGTGAAGCCTCTCACCACCCCTGCACCTCTGGCTTGTACCCCAGTTCTGTATGAATAAATAAATGAATCTTTAAAAAAAAAAAAGACTACACAAAAAGATATGATGATGAGAGGATAGGAGAAATGAACACTGTAACTCAGGAAAAATGCAGGAGTATAATAATAAATGGTTCATAGTGTTAGCTCTTGCTTCCTTTTATCCTTGCTGACTTTGTCAAGGTAAAAGGAAATGCCAGACTGATGTTTTTAAGAGCTCAGGGTACTGTGGATCAGGGTCATGGAATTCATTGGATGATGGTAAGTGACATCATCAAAATCTACCACTGTTTTGGATGCCCCCAACAGAGTTCACTTACTCAACTGAAAGTCCAACTCCTTTCAGTTTTGACATTTAAAATGAGGTTAAGTAACTGCAGTACAATCACACAGCTATTAAAGATGATGTTGATGAAGAGTTTTAATAACATGCAGAGATTCTTAACAACGTAATGGCAATGCTTCTACAACAAAGCTAATAGATTTCACATGAAGGATCTCAATCATGAAAAGGAAGCTATTTTTAGGATAAAAATGCTAGAGTATATCAATATTTTCAAAGGTGTGATTACTGGTAACTTCCCCTATCTTATATATCTTCTGTTTTATCTTTGTGCTTTCTAAATTTACTGCAATGAGTAGCATATCAAAAAATCCAAAGGAAAGGATACAGTAAAAAGATATGATGGAGGGGAGGTGATGTGAGGAGGGAAGGCTCCCAGACCCTCAGCGTAACTCCAGGGAAAGAAACATACAGAAAATGCTCTATCCTCCAGGAATTTCTGGAAAAGGCAAAAGTACAGAGACAATAAAAAAGATCAGTGGTTTCCTGAGGTCGAGGGGAGGGGTGAATAGGCTGAGCATAGAGGAATTTTAAGACAGTGAGTATACTTTGCACGGTACCATAATGATGGGACATGTCGTTACACATTCGTCAGACCTACAGAATGTACAATAGCAAGCGTGACCCATTATGTAAACTGTGGACTTTGGGGGATTATAATGTGTCGATGTGAGTTCATCAGAGGTAACCAGTGAACTGCTCTGGTGGGTGATGCTAAAAACAGGGGAGGGCATGCACCTTGGAGTGGGGCCATCCTTATACCTTCCACTTAATTTGGCTGTGAACCTAAAATGGCTCTTTAAAAATGGAGAGAATGAATATGGACTGGATGACTGGATGTGGACCGGAATGTATTGCAAGTGAGCTATTGTTGTTCTGGGCACAAGCATTTCTAATTTTGTGCCTGCAAATGCATCCGATATTTCATTTACTTGACACATTGTTCTAAAGGTAGTTTTAAGCCCATAGAGCTAAGTCTGGGAAATGTTGACTTGAGGTGAGTTCATTTCTGTAAAATAGACCCTATCACTTGGAATGCTTGTGATTTTAACCTCTGACTGGGCCCCTGAGTGACTGGAATGTCAGTGAAGCTTAAATAAACCTGAATAAACAGAGTCTGAAAATGTACGTCCTGTAGCCTCTCTTTGCTCCCTGGGGAACCTCTTGAATCTCCGCCCCCACTCCAGTAAGGATTAAGAGTGTTACTTAAGTTTTGAAAGTTAGGCAACTGGGATGACAGAGGTTAGTTTTTTGTTATTGTTATTCAGTGATTGGTAGTTATATATGCCAAATCTCTGTCCATGACAAATTTAGAAGAAACAAGACCTGTAGCTTTGATTTCCACATCCGACCAAATCTGTACCTACTGATGTGTGTTGGGGGAGCACATTCTAAACCTGTTTCTCAGGTGTATAGACTTCAGCACTTGGCCTATTTGAGAAGCAATTCAAAGTTCCCTTTTAAGTTATTTGGTGAAGTTTTTGGTTGGGTTGAATGGCCTCTCAAGGTGAAATAAATGAATAATTTGTCTTTATCTAACCTGATATGTTAATATCTTAACCTAGAAAAGCAGCAAATGTTCAACTAAATCTTGACAAGACGTTGAATAAGTTGCAACAAGTTCAGATCACTCAAGGACAGGCAAATTCTACCATCACACAGCTGACTGCCAAGATAACAAAAATTAAAAAGAATGTTCTGCAGGTATTTCTTTACCTTTTTTGAAACTCACCTGAAATAGGTCTCGAGTGTGGACACAAACCAAATTTATACATGCTAGTGTTATGCTTTCCTTACCTGCCTGATAAGATTGTTACAAGGATAAAATAAGATCATGGTAGCAGCGAGCATTGCATTCATGTCTTTCATGCTCTCCCAGCATCATTTCACCTCACTGTTGATGAACCCTGGGGTGGGAAGCTGCTACCACTGCAAGACTGTAAATGAAGAAGTAAAGACTCGGGGAGGTTAAATGATTTGCCTAAGATCACATAGCTAGTTAATGGTCAATTTAAGGCTAGAGCTTATCTTTTCTGATACCGGGGCAAGTAAAAGACTTTTTAAAGTTCACAATGAAAAAGATAAACTTATTGTTGCAAGATATTTGCAACTAAATTTACATGAAATCTCATTAGAATATCCTCAAGCTGAAAGAATGCCTTGCCCAAAAGAAGGCATTCCAGTCAGAGTTTGGCAGGAGTGGGGGCCTGTGGGTCCAGGAGGAAGGAGTGAGATAATTACAGGACAGGTCAGGACCAGTTTGGAGGATGTATGAAGTGTCTTCCTCCACTCAGTTCTGCAATTATGTTCTGTACTTATGTGTGTGTATATAAATTCATGCATCTTAAAAAGAAAAGCTAAAAGCAAGATAACAAAAATGCGTCTACCAGGAAACAAAAGGGATAGATATGAAGGTTTGTATGTAGGGTAGCAAAAAAAACAACAAAGGCCTCCTCCAGGTTTTCCTCTTCTAGACATACATTCTAGAATCCCTACCAAAGGAATATACCTTAAAACCCAGCCAGCCTTCAGCCTTAAAGAATTTCCACAGAAACAGAAGAGACAAGTTGCCTTAGCAAGAGTCATCAGAAACAGAAAACAACGGAATGAGAATACCAGACGCTGCAGATACTACTCTTGTGAAGTTTAGAATACAAAATAAGAGTATTTACTAGATTTCAGAAAATCAAAGGAGATTGTGACTGAAGAAAATTAAGAGCTAGCAAATGACAAGTCAGGACTGACTTCTGGATATAAGTATGATCAATGGAAGAAGAAATAGAAGGTTCTTTATTATAAAGGGAAGGAATATTAGAGCTACCTGTAGCCATAAGAGAATAGAAAAACAAATGGTTGTCTTTTCAATGGATGCTTGAAAATGATGACAGTGTATAATAACCAAAAATGATATAAATTAATCTAGGTAGCCTGTATAATCAGAATTTTGTTAAAAATTCAAGTAGTAGATGTATATTTTTATGATATATTAGTATATATATAGTAAAAACATATGGAAGCCCATGGAATGGCAGCTACTACATTAGACTCCAGATAGTGGTTATTACCTAGAGGGAAGGGGGCATGGGAGAGCGGGGTCCTGAAGGCATTTACTCAGTAGCAATACTTTATTCATAAATTGCCTGGTGGATATGTGAAAAAACATCATATTTTGTTTCAAGCCCCTTTGTAGGTCTGAAATACATTTTTTTTATAAATGGAGCAGAAAAAGCAAAAGAACGATTTTCTTTCCTGTTAGCTGGTTTCTGAGGGTTAATTATATCACTTATTTTCTTGTTTGTTTGTTGTTATATAAACAGACTTTCTCCTCTCTGGTCTTCCAATCGATAACAGGCTGAAAATCAAACCAAAGAGACTAAGAATCAGCTGGACTCAGCAAAGCAACCATCAGAACTGGAGGATGGACTTTCCCAGCTAAGATCTAAGTTGCAAAGAAATCAAGACAAAGCTGTCAGTGCAAAAGCTCAAGCTGAATCAGCCCAACGTCAGGCTGGGGGCCTGGAGCAGGTTACTACTTTACCAGGGCAGACAAATAATGCCCCTTTCAGATAATCCTTTAAGTCCAGGTTTTTGTGCCTTCATCGTCATCTTCCGTGCTGGTTCCCCCCTGGGAGCTGTGCACTGTCGGATCCCACTGGGCATGAAGGCACCTCTGTAGGAGAGGCTGTCTGGGGAGACAGAGGTCTGCTGGCCAAATCACACTGAAGCATGCACTACCATCAACACACCCTAATATTCTCAGGGGGGCCCTGGTCAGATTTTCCCTGAACATCCAAACTGCCACAATTTATGTCATTGGTCTAGATTGTGCGTATTTTCCCTTTACTCTAATTCAATCACAAAACCTATAAAGAGAAGATGTGAAAGTTGCTTGCCAAAGAGAATAGATCAAGTCACAAAAATCAGAGCAAGTTAATTAAATAGTTGTGGAAAGTGGTGCTTTAATTTATGTTGCTGAAAGAACCTATCAACTTCTTTCTTAGCAGGAAATCATTAGCCAGTTACATTAAGATAATAGCTTAAACAGAAGAAAAATATTAAAAGTGCTTAACGTTTTTTCATAATTGGTGTCCTCCCTTGCATGTAATTCCTAATATGCTGGATAAGTTTTCCATTGACTTGGATCCCAGCTGGTAACTTTTTCTATGAAACAGAGGTCGAGAAAGTCGCTTCCTGCCCTCCTTGCTCCACTTCCGTCGGCCATTCCTGGCCCTAGTCTTTATTCACCAACTGTCTAGGTTGTCAACCCATAGGCTGACCCCAGAGATTTCCATTCTGATGCCAAGCGAGAGATTCATACCCACACTTGTACTTTTCTTTCTCTCTCCAGCCTCCCTTCCTACCGCATTCCCCTCTTACTGTTTGCCAACCAGATACTATATCCTTGCTGCTTCTGAATCTTCACTGTTCCTTCCTCCTTTTCATAAAACTGTCCCACCCAAATGAGCAAAGATTTGTCAAGGGCAGAATTGTTCAGTTCTGTTTTCTGTATCTCTCCCTTTAATACAATTCAGGACAGTTGTTTTTCCTGAAAAACTAAGAAACTACCCAAACGTAAATAACTACCTTAACATGGAATAATAATTGATATTTTTGTAACAATAAGTTTTATTTTTAATTAACTGAAAATGAGATTTGTTTTTAAATTTTTCTTTTTACTTATTTTTAATATCTATTTTACATCCTTTCTCCTTTTTGTACAATGTATGCTTTCTCTTCTTAGGTGTAGTCCCTGTAAAATTCTCATCACCAGTTCACCCATGCACCATCACCACAGTCCCTTGTGCTCTTCCCTCCCCTATTTTGATCGTTTTCCCTGCTCCTCCCCTGCAGAATGTCTCTGGTTTATAGTTGACTGTTGATTTTGTTTAATTTATTACAATTACTTCCCCCACCCCCAATCTCTTATTTGGTTCCCCTACATTCCTCCTTTAAGTGCAACCATTTGATATATATATATATTTTTTTCTTTCTGGCTTATTTTATTAAGCATGATCCCTTCCAGCTCCATCCATGTTGTACAAATGGCATGAGTATATCATTTTTGGTTGATAAATAATATTTTATTGTATATATATACCACTTCTTCTTGATCCAGTCATCTATTTTTTAGCATTTGGGTTGTTTCCAAGGCTTACCTATTATAAATAGTGCTGCCATAAATATAGGGGTTCAAGTATCTTTTTGAATAATATTTTTGTGTCCTTTGGGTAGATCACTAGAAGTAGATTTTCTGGGTAATATAGTAGCCCCATTTTTTGGTAGTCTGAGGAAACTTGATACAGCTTTCCATAGTGGTTGGACCAGTTTGCAATCCCACCAACAATGTAGAACCAACATTTGTTGTTTCACGGGCTTTTAATGTGTGCTATTCTCACTGGTGTAAGGTGGTACCTCATTGTGGTTTTGATGTGATTTGATACTTCCAGCCTGAAAAATAAATCGATGCTGTCCACAGCTCTGTTAGAAACATCAGGGTGACTCAGGCATGGTGGCTGTGTGACAGTTTCCTCGTCTTCCAGCCTTTCATGATGTCATGAGATCACCATGCCTGTGTAAATTCTTTACAAATATTTTCTGCTGATGGGAATGCTGTTTTGTTACAGGGGTTTGTCATGCTGAAAAGTCGCTATGCGGTTCTGCAACATAAGACACATGCTACAGGCCTGACAGAAGAAACCATAGGGAAAGTCAAACAGCTAAAGGACGCAGCACAAAAATTGGCCGGAGATACAGAGGACAAGATGAGAAGGATAGAAGGTATCTATTTTTGTTCCCAACTTTGTTGAGGAATACTTGACAAATGGAACTGTATATAATTAAAATACACATTAGTGATCAGATATCCACTATGAAATGACTCTCACAGCTAAGTTAGTTAACAGATGTTCCCACCTCGCATACATAGGTTTTCTCTTGTGATGAGGATGTGTAAGGTCCACCATAGAGAAAGTGCTGTATTGGTAACTGCAGTGAAGCCCAAGAATGGATTCACCTTATTAATAGAGGCTTATGTCCTTTGATTAACATCTCCCCACTTTTCTCACACCCAACTCTAGATGTCCCCCATTCTTCTGTCTGTTTGTGTGGCTACAACTTTTTTTTAAGACTTCACATATTAGAGAATCCATATAGTTTTGTTTTTTTTTTTAAGATTTATTTATTTGTGTAGACAGAACTGGGGTATAGGCCAGAGGCTCAGAGGCAGTGAGAGGCTTTACCAGAGACAGAGTGGGGAGCAGAACAGGCAGATCAACGAAGTACACTGCTGAGGGGAGCAGCGGGCAGGTCAGGAGAGGTCTGCCGAACCATGTGGTCACCTCCAGGGGAGGTGGGAATTGAACTCATGTGGAAGTGGCTTAAGCTTCTTAGTGCTGTGCTTTAACCCGCTGCGCCACCAGGGAGGGGTGAGAATCCATATAGTTTTTGTCTTTGTTTGGCTTATTTCATTTGGCTGAATGCTCTCCAGAGTCATCCATGTTGTTACAAAAGACAGTATTTTCTTCTTTTTTATGAGTGAATAGTGTGTGTTTTCTCTCTTCACTCATCTGTTGACATTCACGTTATTTCCGTCTACTAGAAATAATGCTGCAATAAATGTGAAGTGCACTCATCTCTTTGAGGTATTGAGTTACCATGTTTAGACTCTTATGAGGTGGAGGGATCATATGGTAGTTCTGTCCTGTCATTCACTCCACCAACGTAAAATTAGTACTGTAATACACCCCTTTCCTGGCAGAATTTTCCCCAGCTTCAATTCTTTATTGACAGTGTAACCACTTGAGTCTACTGAGAGAGAAGTAGGAACTGCAACATAACAGGCCTCTTTTGTGGTTTCACTTAAAAGGGTATTGAGGAGCATCCACTCATGCTAATCACAAAACTGAGTTGGCCTTAGGTCACCTAGAAATGCCCTTTGCCAACCCAGTAGTTTTCAAGCAGGGGTAATTTTACTCCCTTCCCTTGGGCAAAAACTTCTGTAGACCTTTCTGTCTCTGGTAACTAGGGGACTCCACTAGCAGCCAGTGAATTGGGGCCCCAAGGTGTTGCACAGGACATACCCCCCGACCCCCGCAATACTAAGTTATTCTCCTAAAGTGCTGTTGTGCTGAGGCTGAGGGATCTGTCCTAATCTGTGCTGCTTATTGTTTCTGCTCATGCTGATGTCTTTTGGGAGTCAAATGGCCTAGATTCTAGGCACTAGGTCATCTGGCATAGATCTGTAAGTAGCAGTCCAGAAGAAATCATATCTTACATGAGGATTTTAATTAAAACAGAACTTTTGATCCACACAAAGTGTAGTAAGTACATACAATCAGAAGTATGCATGCAATCAGAAGGTTAATCAGAACTTTTTTTCCAACTGAGGCTCATGATTTTTCTGGATAATCATATCTCTAACTAAATCTCAAAAATTCCAGGGATAGTGATTCGCTTTTACTTGTAGCTATACAAATTGTTTTTCAATTTTTAATTAATCATTTATTTGGAATATAAAGTAGTTCTCAGTGTAGTAAAATAAAACTCACCTGCAAATGCTTCTTTGTTATAAAATGTCTTTGACCTTATTTCTCCAGTGACATAAAAAAAAATTTAATGAAACATTAATGAGGGCCAAAACCAGAGAAATACATACCAAACATTAGTTATCATTACTTTTCTCTGGGAAGGAGGCAATGTGTTTAAAAAGTTGTGGTTTTGTGGGTAATTTTCAATGTTTTCCTAATAGTTTTTTAAAGAAAATACTTGGAGAGAAAAATCAGAAAAGCAGATTAATTTTTACCTTACACTCTGTAAGTAGTTCCAGAAAATCAGTTTCTATTATTCACAGAATCTGGTCCTTACAACACACACAGAAACATGGGGGGAATATTTTCTGCTGTATGTTTTATGTCATAGTCCAAATTGACTGTTCCTGTACAGTAGACCTTTCACAGTTCTTGAAATATGGCTGGAAACGAAGTTTAAGTTGGGGAGCTTCTCAGTGAGGTCTGAAATAAATGCATTCCCATCTTTTTTTTTTTTTTTCTCACACTGTCAAACTTTTCACGATTGGAAAAGGAAGGAAAGGAAGATTTGGATTTGGCCATTTTTCCTACTTTGGGAAGGGCTGAATCACAAGGACTGTTCTAGCCCATCTACTAGGAAGGATGTCCCGGGGGCCTCGGGAAGGAGCACTTCCCCTCACAGGAGCAGGAGCAGGAGGAGAGTAGGCCTGCTCCCTGCGCAGACCTCTGGGGTAAGGGTCTGCAAGAAGTGGAAAGCACACTGAGATGTAATTCTGGATTATGTCATTGTAAGTGGAGTTGTCCCAATTATTTCTACACTGCATAACAAACGACCCCCCAGAACTGACGCAAGGGAACCCATGAATTATTCTCTGAGGTGTTATCTGGGTGGTGGCTCTTCAGGGCTGCCTGCATTACTCAAGCAGCAGCGTTGAGCTGGTGGGGCAGCTGGCAGGGTGGGAGGCCAGGCTGGGGTGAGGTGCTGACCTCTCTCCTGGGTCCTTCACCCCTGAATGCTTTTCAGCATGGGGGTTCTGTGAGCACAAAAGCTACCAGGCTCTTGAGACCCAGCAGCATCATTTCTTTCACTAGTTATTGGTCAAAATAACTCCAAAAAGCCAGACCAGCTGTAAAGGGAGAGGGGAAATCTATTTCTTGGTGGGAGGAATGGCAAAGACTGCACAAGAATTAAGAAAATCAACTAAGGGTGTGTAGGTCCTGGGTGTCCACAGCAACGAGAAGCCTTTGTAACCCCTGGGCCTGAAGGGGATGCTTGACTTGGCCCCAGTGTGCTGGAGGGCAGGAGGCCACCCTGCAGGGGCTGGAGTGGAGGAATTGGAAGAGCCGCCAGAACCCGCAGCTGAGCAAGACAGAGTCTGCTGGCTCTCCTGCCTGCTGGCTCTCCTGCCTGCCAGCACTTCCCAGAACTGTCCAGAACTGTCCAGTGTGAATGAAAGCCAGAGATCAAGGAGCCCGGCAATGTCACACCAGGAAGCTAGCTCTTCAGAACAGGGCAGGCCATGGTGCAGCGAGTAACCAGCCTGATCTTAGCATCTTTCCTGGTGGAAATACAGGACTCTTTTTTCTTTTCATATAAATACACTTGCAATGCTGAATCCCCTTTTCAATCCAAATGCCCTATATGTGAAAGTTTCTGCAGACAGAATGCTCCCCACCTTCATAGCAATTCTGTAGTCTGTGAGCAGGTATGATGACTAGAGAGTTCTTTATATTCAGACAAAGTCTTCCTTCCTGAGCTGGACTTCAAAATACTTTTTAAAAAAGCTATGGCCCATGCTCTGAAGCTTCTTTTCTCTCTATGAAACATCACCAGTGAATTCAACATTTGTTCATAGGTCAGTTTCAGATTTCTTCAGCAATCTGTTTCCTTTCTTTAAACATGGGCTACATGCTAGCTTAACAATTTATTCTAAACTAACTCTGTCTGGCATGATCTGATCAAATAAAGTGGGACATTTACTTACCTTTTTTAGAAATTCTTCTTCAACCTAAAACCTTTTTTAAAAGCCACCTCACACTGTTCACTGTAATTCTCTCAATCACCTTCATCTCCAATGCTGTGGGCTCCCTGTTAGGGTTTGCTGTCACCCCCAGGTACTGGCTGAGCTAGGTGAATAAATGAATGTGTGAGTGGGTGGATGATGGATACCTAAAAGTGAGGCCAAGAAACATGGTTTTGCTTTTACTGTTCAGACTTTATTATCAGCAGAGGAGAATGAAGAAACTAAAATGTCAGTTCTTTTTACTAAAAGATTACAAACCCCTAGAGGGAGTAACATGTAAAAAGTGAGGTTCAAAGAGCGAGAACAAACTTCTGAAAATATAGCACATCACTAACTCCAATTAAGGCCTATCACCTCTCTTCATTTCTAATGACTTATAACTAGTTGTAGTCTCACACTGATAAATGCCTTTAGAGATAACAGTTTTTGAGTCAGAAATATCAATTTCTCTGCACTGATTTAGACGAAAACCTTAAGAAGCCTGGTGAAAATAAATGTGTGATCCATTGAAGCAGCACACAAAACTAAAGCTTCAAGATGCATTAAATCCCTGTGTTTGGTATAATGTGGGACTCCAGGAGGAATCTATCCATGAAATTTTGTCACTTCATTTTCTTGCAGATTTAGAAAAGAAGATTCAAGATTTGAATTTCAGTAAACAAGAAAAAGCTGATCAACTAAAACAGTTGGAAGATCAAGTCATTGCCATTAAAAATGAAATTGTTGAACAAGAAATTAAATATTCCACCTGTTATACTTAGGCGGAGTTGCAGGGCAAATGCCTGCACCTTCTTTCCGGCTTCAGAGGAGCAGCTCAGAGTAGCCATGTGAATCGTGAGACACGAGGCTCAGCCCTCCTGCCTCCCTGCCCTGGCCTCTCCTTCGCAGTGGGGCTGGGCAGGGCCTCGGGCCGAGGAGATGCATGTCACACGGAATAGAAAGGGGCCTGAAAGATGGTGTCCAGTTTCAGAAATGCTTCCTCCAGTCATCCATTCTTTTCATAATTTAAAATTAGTTGCTTCTGACAGGTACAAACCTAAAAACGTACTCGATTTCCTACTACTCATCTCAATTGAACCTAAGCGTTAAATAAATTGCTAGCAGCTGGGTGAGGGAAAGGACCATGCAGTCATAGTGGACAAGCATAAAGTTTCACTGAAGCAGGGAGTTCTGGAGATCTGTGTAACACTGAAGCGAACAGGCAGCAACACTGTGCCAAACACTTAAAAATGTGTTGGGAGGGTAGATCTTTTTAAAATGTTCTTACCACAAAAAAAAAATTAATTAAAATCAGTCAATATCTCATGCAAAGAAAGCATATAAATGGTGTGTACTAGGATTGTCTCGTATTTTATTATTATTGGGATTGGCTTCATTTGTGAACTACTGTACCCTTAATAAAAGGCATGCAATTCAAAGTAATTTCCTCTGTCATCCACTTTCCTACATATGTTCTCAACCAAACAATTCTGTTTTCACCAAACAATATTCAAAAAGAGAAATACTGAACTGTTTCTCATAATTTGTCTGTAGGCAATAAGCTACCTGCTGTAAAATCTATTTTCAAAGAATAGCAATTGTGTTATTCTTTTTTAGTATCAAAGATCAGAATGTTGCATTTCAAAATGGATGTGATTTCACATTAACAATTTGCATGTAGGATACACAATAGCCACCTTGTTTCTGTTGAAGGAAGTTTTTCTTGCAGGGATTATCTTCAAGGAATTTCACCCCACATTGTTAAATCATAGAAATAGGCATCAACAAGAGGAGTAACAGTGCAAGCGATGTAACAGCTGGAGCCGGATCACGAAACAACTGGCTGCAGGTGCAGTTCATTAAAGAGGTAATTCTAGATCTTTTCTACACTAGAAATCAGTCTCAGGTAAAGGCCAGCTCAGGGTTGTTAGTGAATGCAATTAGCAGAAAGCACAAAAATGGCAGAGGGAGAAAAAGAAGAACTGGAAACAGATTCTGGCAAGAGCAGTGAGTTTGAAGGGGCACAGGCTATAAATTTCTACCCAATAGCCCTGCTCCATCTTTCTATTTTGGTAACTGAATTTCAATTGGGCTGCTTAGAGGCACTGTATTTCCTCAACTCCTTTGCCGTTCATTGTGGCCAGGTGACTAAATTCTGGCCAGCAGGATATTAGTGATGAAGTTGTGTAACTTCTGGGGTGCAACCTTAAGAGGAAGCTGTTTCCCCTGTGTGGTGTGCACAATGATGCCCTCCCTACCCCTAAACAGGTCCATGTCTGAATCTCCATAACCATGAAAATGTTCTGCTACTCGGCAGCGAGACAGTAAGACCACAGATGCATTTCATACTAATCAACTGACCTGAGTAGGGGCGAACCCGCTGGATTACCCAGGAGAGTTCAATGAACCATCAGGGCCCTCAAGAGTAGAAGCCTGCAGAGGGAGCCGTTAGCAAGATGGCCGTGGGAGGAGGCGGCGGGCAGACGCGCCTAGCTTTGAGCTGAAGGGAGAGGAGTGTGAAGCAAAGAAGGTAAGTCACTCTAGAAATTGGGAAAACAAAAGCATTCTCGTGTGTGACCCCAGGAAAGGACAAATCACACTGAGCTCAGTGAGAAGTTCCTTTGAGGAACTTCTACAGAACCTAGAAGCCAAGCTATGGCTGACTGCACCACTGCCTAGTTTCTGGCGTCAGAGACTCACCCTCCTTTGTTTGTCTCATTTCCTGAGCAGGAATCCCTGCATCAGCCATGTACATGTAGATGAGGATAATGTTTGTGGGTCCCTGGCTGACCCTTCTTGTCAGGGGCCTGCAGGAGACAGGCTGCGGAGCTGGGCACTACTCAGGCAGGCATGGACAGAGAGGAGGAGAGCCATGCAGGATGAGGTCCCTCCAGGGCACATGTTGGCTAGGGAGTCACCCCCACGTGTGGCAAGGGGGTGAGGAGAGAGGTGACAACCGTAAACTAGAGACTCAGCGTGCAGGAGGTCACGTAACGGGAGGCAGGAGCTAGGGTCAGGCAGCCAGCTTTGACAGGCCTGCAGGGGGCCCCTGGGGGGATAAACATCCCTTAGCAGGCTTCTCTCAGGCCCCTGTCCCATCTCTTGCTGAAGCTGCTACAGGTTGGCCTCCTGGGGCACAGAGGGGAGAGAGACCAGTCTACCTGGAACAGCTCATGATGGGAGGATTAGTTTTGTTCTCTGCTCTGAACTGCCAGCTTGAATTTGTAGGTGATGGGAAAACAAACCTATTTTGGTCGGTTAAAGCAGCTAATCAGCACTGTGATTAGTGTCTTGGGGCACTAAGGGGCTGCCAAATCTTCTCCAACAGCCAACAATAGTCGTCTTCCTAACATTAACACACACACACTCTCCCTCTCCCCCCGCCCCACTCCACCCCCAGATTCTCCCACCCCAGCCTGGGAACAGTGGGCCAAGAGTCCAGTGATAAGTGCAACCTAGGCTTGGCCCTTATATGACCTTAAGCAATTCACAGCCACTCTAAATGTCTGGGCCTCATTTCCTTCAGCTGTAAAATGCTAATAAACGCACCTGGCCAAGACTCAGGAACCTGAGCCAGTGCGTGTGAACAGGCTTTGGGAAGAGGTATGTGTAAGTCCTCCCACAGATGGCCTTCTCATAAATCCCAGTGGCTTTCCACACAAAGCCCTGCTACCCACTAGCCTAGTTCAGAGCCCCCTCTCTGTGGGTACCTTGGTGGTAGGTATAGGGTGGTAACATACTCCTGGAGAGGTGTGAACCTGTACCCCTAAATAAGGAACAGCATTGTAAACCAACATTACCTCAATGAAGGGATTGAAATTTTTTTCAAAGCCTGTTCTTCTGTCAGTTGGCTGATCACATCTTACCTGCCTCACCTGATTGTCACTCCCATAAGGACACAGAACACAATACTCATGGCCTTTCTAGAACCTAGTGTAGTGCAGAGCACTCTATGTTTGCTTATAAATTAGTTGCATAAATTAACTCCAAGGCATTGGAGGTGAGATAATCCTAAGGCCATCACTGAATTAAAACTTCAATTGTAATATGGTTGAAAATTAACTTGTTACATTTCCAGCCTCTAAAATGACATTGAGAATAATTCAGTTCTCTACTTCGGCATATAAAGGTAAATGTCAGAGAGAGCATGTGCCTAAAACATCCTTTTTCCTACCTTGCCCTCTCTCCATAACTAGCCACCTGCTTAGCAGCTGCTGAAGTGCCTCTGCCCTCTCCACTCCTCCCACAAAGCAAGCTCGCACACCCCTCCACTCTTTCTGCTCATAAGAAATAGTCTCTTTGTGTGTGATCGCTTTCTTTTCCTTTGCTGTGTGCGCCTGTTGATACTTTCCAAATCCCCTGGCCAGAGAGGTGGGGAGTCGCTTCAACACGAAGGTCACACCTCACACACAGGCCACGATGACACCCCTGGCTGAGCCCATGGGGCCAAAGCGAAGGACCTTTCCTTTGCACACAGGCAGATTTTGTCTGAGAAATCCTGCCTGCGCTCAGTAGTAGCTAAGCATGAAACAGCCAATGACACATTTGACCCATTTATAGATTTGTGTTTATATGTAAACATTAATATATATTGCTAGTTGCTTAAGATTTACACAAAATCTATATAAATGCAACTCTAATTGGTAGGTTTCACGGTAACCCTAAATCATTGAGCAGATTTGTTTACTCAGACCCTCCTGTGCACAGCACCCGCTCCCACATACCCACTCCTCTTCCTCCTGCTCCCTCCAGCCCGCAGCCCATCCTATCTGCCCCCAGCTTGAGCAGAAGTTCTTTTCATTCACTTTATATTTCTAATCAAAGTATTCTTCCCAAACCTGATTCTTGTGCTTCAGAGCAGTGAAGAACTTGAATAGTCAAAATTCTCACAAGCTTTCCCATGATGAGCTTGAAGATTTTTAGCAGTGGGGATGCCTGCTTACAATTTACAAGACAGTCCTGTGTGTTCTTTCAGTTTCCACCCTTATCCCTCTGTTTCTTCTCTTCCCTCAGAGAGAAAAGGAACTTTTCCCTCTCCAACATAAAGCAGCCTAAGCAATACCTCTGCCTGACACCCGCTTACCCATTGGCTTAGAGCTTTGCTTATCTGGAATAACTTGAAGTACAAATAATCTCCAGCTTTACTCACTAGTACTGTGTAGACAATCTCGGCAGCTTCTGCCACACCAACTGCTTCTGACTGAGCCTATCAACTTTTGGTTACATAGCAGTAGCTTACCACAAACAATACTAGACATATTAGTCAGTGTGCAGGGTTTCCAAACAGGTCTCCTCCATGTTCATATAAGTTGTGATTTTTTTTAAGTCAAAGGTCTGAGTCATAGCAATATCAGACACAGTTCCACATGCAACCATAGTTCTTTTTGAGGATAAACAAAGTGAGGGGAGAGGTGGCAGGCTGCCCTTAGCCTTCTGGTCACAGGTAAGAGATGAAGTCTGCTGTCTCGGAGACTCTTCCAACTTGGTTCCAAGTACTAAAATACAACCTTTAATACAGTTCCTTCCCTACCTGCAGTGAAGACTTTGAAATACTTAGTCTACAAAACTCTCAAACATTAAAATAGAGTAGTTGAGATTACTAGCCCTGATGGGCAGTGGTCTAAAATGACTGGTCAGGAAAGTACTACTACAGCTGGATAGACTATTCTTAGAGATAGGAGATGCAGGTATCTTGGGAGGATGCATGCTTCCTGTCTTTGATACTCCCTTTCTTTCAGGAAAGAGGACCAAGAGATCCAAAATGAAGACATCTAAAAGGTAA